AATGACTGAGTATCGCACACAAACATTTCAGAAGCTGTGTGATTTGCATGACCCCTGGTGACAGGTAATGCTTGAAATATAAAGGTCATGTCTATTGTTCTAAAATGCGTCAACTACATCACACTGTAAAACCTAATAAGTTGAGACTACTCAAATGATTTCAGGAAAGTGATTCCCTCAGTTCGCTTGAGTAATGGGAAACCGATAACTCAATTATTTGTGTTCACCAAATCTGGTCTCTACATTAAATTAACTTAAATGTTCAATTACAGATAACTTAAAATGGCTAATAATCTAAACTTCCAAAATGTTGAGCTTTTATATTCTTTATTTACTCACTACCAGGGCCGTTTATATTAAAGCTGACATTTAACCGCACCATGTTGATGTTGATGATCTAATTTTTTATGAGGTGGGTTGTTAGCCCAATGCTCAACCCCCAACCTGGAGGACCAAAACATACACACATAGACTACGGACAATTTAGCTTACCCAATTCACCTAGCGCATGTCTTTGGACTTGTGGGGGAAACAGGAGCACCCAGAGGAAACCCACAAAGAGAACATGCAAACTCCACACAAATATACCAACTGACCCACCTGGGACTTGAACCCGCAACCTTCTTGCTGTGAGGTGACAGCGCTACCCACTGCACTAGCGTGTATATCTCACTCTGCCACCCCTGTTCATTTAAGAAAAATCTATATAAGCATTAAAATATCTACTTACAGTACTAATTTAGCTGTTCTTTTTCGTCAGATGGTTTCAGGTAGTGCCTCTGTCCTGCTGCGTTTCAGCAAAATTCAGCATCACAAGCAAAATGGCTACCTTGTGTCATTTAACATACACATATCAATCAATTAGTGCAGTTGTAAAGGCAGAATTTCAAACACAACCAATAATAACCAATAATTTTAAACAGAGACATGGTGAATCGTTTAAAGAAATTAAAATTTTAAGTTCAGAGAACTTAAAATATTTATTAAAGCTTTTTTGCTGCCTAATGATAAAGTTAAACACATCTGTTTAGGTTTTGATGCCAAAACTTTGTATTTTGTGTAATGTCAAGTTCTATTAACTTACTATCTTTAGTAATGACAACAGCGGGTTTTACAGTGCAGGTGTGCACTTTCTTCTTGTGCTTCATTTTATGAGTTCTCAGTCACTGCAATGCCATACCACCAATTTGAGTTTGAGACCCCTGCTTTAAACTTAATAGCGAATTATTAATAGTGAATAAAGTAATAATAAGCGATAAAGTTAAAAGACAATAAAAAGAACACAATCAGGGAATACAGGAGCATACGGAAGCAAACTTGAAAGCGTTTCTTTACAAAGTGACTTTACAAACTAACAGCCTGACAGGCATAATATTCAATTCAATGTATATTTATTTCTAGGCTTTAACAATGTAGATAGTCAAAGCAGCTTAGCATAGAAGTTCTAGTAAATTGAAACTGTGCCAGTCCAGTTTTCAGAGTTTTAAAAATCATATTAAAAAACCTTGCTATACCACACTGAGATTCAATCTAAGTAATTTCAAACATATCAGAGATTCTCTGACTTATGAGGCCTCTGGTATGTATTTAAATACTAAGATCATTCCACATTTGTTGTACTGTATAACACATGTAAATCATCTTTAACACTGTTGGAATTATTATAGAAGAGAGCACTTAAAGTTCATAATAAAAAGCCTCGGTTGTACCATACTGCAATGTCTTAAAAACACACAGTCTCTAAAATTTTGATAATATTATTAAATATTCCAATATTTGTTTTGTTTTTAAAACTATTCACAATCTTTCTGCTCCATCGTTAAAAACATTCTCAAATTACTAATTAGAGAGAACATTGTGAACGACACATTCTATGGTAAAAGGGGAATGTATTGTTCCTAGACGTAAAACCTCTTTTGGTCAGTTTTCTTTTATTTAGAAAGAAACAAGTTTATGGAATTCTCTCCCAACAGAAATAATCACATGCACAAATTCTAAGATGTTTTCACGCCTGGCTAGGAGGTGGTTTTTGTCAAATTAAATTTGTACACACTGAGTGAGATGTTCTTCATTTATCAGTTACTTTTTGAGGTTAATGTAATTTTTGAGCATTGTCCCTGTTAAATAAATCAATTCATTCATTCAATCGTTCAGTTTAGTTCAGTTCAGTTTGGTTTAAATTTTACTGCAGAAAGTCCAAACACTGAAGAGCAAATCCATCAATGGGTTGCTCTACATATCCCAAACCAAGCAAGCCATTAGCGACAGTGGCGAGGAACAAAACTTCACCAAGTGACGAAAGTGAAGGAAAAACCCTGAGAGAAACCAGGCTCAGTTGGGCACAACCATGGCCTTTGGCCGAACTTCAATGTTTTTTAAATTATTTTAACAGCAGTGGTTTCAAGCTCAGACAACACAGAAAAAAATGACATATACAGTCAATGTTTACATTTTAAAAACAAAAAACAAAAGTGTACACTGTACTTTAACCATTAAAGAGCTAGCTGCCTATTAACAATAAACACCTTCCAAGCAAAGCCTTCCTCTCCTAATCAAAGCAGTGATCTTAAAAGCTTTTTGTTAACTACTGTGACAAAGGCCATTGGTTCCAAAGCATATTTAAGCATGCGGAAAACACATTTATCTGTGCTTTGGTGAGCAGCGAGAAGAGGAGCTAAAAGCCTTCTCAGAACAAAGGACGAGCGGGATCTGATGGCTTCTGAAGACGCAGATGGCAAAAAAGTTGTGATGTCGGTGACAGACTCTCCTTAATGGAGAGCGTATTATGACATTTCAGCTCCGGCGCTCCTCGCAGGTTTGACTGATGGATGCAGGGTTTAACAGATCGGCACGCCATCTGCCACAGCATAGTCACACGCTCGCGACGAACGCAACACTTCCTGTAGAGATCAGCTGAGTGCAAAAAAAAGACACTAACACAAACCGCTGGAAGGTATAGCAATGAAAAGCTCAATCAGAGTTGTATTTGCGTACAATAAAGGATACAAATTAGTGTGTGGGCCAAAGTGGGCAGAAAGCAAGACTTTCAATGCGTTCACATTGACTCCACTTCAACATGCTCTATATGCATTAATCGTAATAACCTTGCGCATTTCACTTAAGAAAGCAATGATTCTTTACAGCATTTCCAGGCCGTAAACAATCCTTCTACTAAATGAAACAGAGTTCTCCTTGTTTAAGTGAGCAGCAAACGGATCTGAGAGTCTCTAGGCTGTGTTTACAATCACAGTGGAAAGTTGGTTTACCGTCAAGAGTTGTTGTCTGCAAGTGACGTTGTACTGTGAGAAGAACCACCACCACATAAAGCAACACCACGTCTGCTTGTCAGGGACCAACTGAAATTTCCACTGCTCTGCTTGTGACACACTCTCTCCAGGATTCTCCTCTTCTCGAGGCCTATCTTTTCTGAAGATCTACAAAAAGAGCAAAGAAAACAGACACGCGGCTTCTCGAAAAGCATTTATTACAAAAACAAGTTGGCTACAGTCGCATAGCTGTTGTGTCAGCTGCAAATTACATTCCCATGTCCATTTATACAAAACAACAGATATAAAAATAGATAGAATAGTAGATGTATTGATTGTGATTATGAGAAATTTGTAACACCTCAATATTAGGATGTAAACCCTTAGATAAGATGGCAATACATACTGTACAAACACTTACAAATATGAATGAAATAAATTCATGTCTTTCAGACAGTAGATGTCTCAAACATGTACAGTGTACATATACAACGCTGCTTCAAAGTTTTTTTTTTAAGTTTGCTATTAAAAATCAAGAAATCTGATAGATTAAGTGAAAACCTATAGACCTTGAAGATGAATTGTAAACCATTTGTCTTCCTTAAAACATGAGTTTTTATTCTTATTATTATTAATCGGGGAAAAAAGTTCCAAATTCCAACAAAATAAGAAAAATGTGGACGACATCATCATGTTTAAAAGTTTTCACACCCAGGCTCTTAATGCATCATTTTTTCTTCTGGAGCATCAGTGAACATTTGAACCATTGTGAGTCCCTTAGTCATCCAAAAAAAAAAAATAATAATCAAATAGTTACTGCTTGAGAAGAACAGTAGGCTGTTTAACTGTTCAGAACAAAGCAGACACTCATGAACAATAACACTAAGAAAAAAAGTAGTAGATTGTCCTGGTTAACCACAGACAGTATTAAAAAAACAAGGGTTTACAAAAACCTGTGCAGGGGCTGGTTTGAATTATTTTACCAATTTTTTTGGTCGTATGAACCATATGCAAGCATTGTGAATGTAATAAATCTTAATCAGGACTGTACTAAATAAAAAGTATGTAGATGTATGATCTCTAATTTCATTGAATCTGAGAGGGGTACATAAACTTTTAAGCAGCACCGTGGAAGCTGCTACTTAGTACTACTTAATATATATATATATATATATATATATATATATATATATATGTATGTATATAATTTTTTTACAAAACACATTAAAAATGTGGCAATGATTTAACAATTTAAACACACACACACACACACACACACACACACACACACACACACACACACACACACACACACACACACTCACACACACAAATACAGTTGAAGTCAGAATTATTAGCCCCCCTTTGAATTTATTTTCTGTTTTCAATATTTCCCAAATGAACAGAGGAAGGAAATGTTCACAGTATGTCTAATAATATTTTTTCTTCTGGAGAAAGTCTTATTTGTTTTATTTCAGCTAGAATAAAAGCAATTTTTTAATTTTTTTAAAACCATTTTATGGCTTAAAGTGGCTAATGATTTTGACCTTAAAATTAATAACTGCTTTTATTCTAGCCTAAATAAAACAAATAAGACTTTCTCCAGAAGAAAAAATATTATCAGACATACTTTGAAAGTTTCCTTGCCCTGTTAAACAGAATTTGGGAAATATTTAAAACAGATAAACAAAATCAAAGGGGCGCTAATAATTATGTATATATATATATATATATATATATATATATATATATATATATATATATATATATACTAGTTTCCTTTAAACATTCAAGCATATTTCAACCTAAAATGTACAAAAAAAGTCTAATAATTTAACTGTAAGCTACCCATCAGTCATGGTATGATTAGGTAAAGACTGTAAAAGTAGGCACTCGAATAGGAACATCATACACCTCATGCTTAGAGCCCACATCACGAATAACAACAACAAAAAAAACATTAAAATCATGCCAACATAAAACAGCACAAGCTTAACATGTACAAATAGATAATGCCATTGATCTACAATATGCACCGCTTAACCTTGCCAAGTATTTATGCATGTAGCAGCTAAAACTGACAACGAGATAAGCCACATGTGTGGTATCCACATAAAAACCAACCGTCAGATAAAATACAAAAGTGGATTTGTATCAAAATAAATATAGAAGTGAAAAAATTAACAGCATTCATTTATGACACCAAAGCCTGTACTGCAAATATAATGTTGTCAGACTCAATTTACAGTTATGCACAAACCAACCCAAAATCTGCATTCCTTTGAAAATGACAGATAATCGGAACAATGATATTGACACCATTTTCGATTGAGGAGATTAATAGATAGACTTGTGGGGTGAGAACATTTCCTCTGCTTACAATGTGTACCAGTCCATGTGTTTTCTCTTTTTGTTTGACAGCAAAGTGAAAGCACCCCACCAAGCTGTGGCCTCTGATAGAGTGATTTCCTGTTCACATGTTTGTGTATGTGTGTGTGTGTGTGTGTATGTGCGAATGTTGCATACATGCTCCACCCGAGAGCTGCAAGAGTGTTGTGAGACTCACAGCAGGTCCTGCTCCACCCAGACAGTCTTCTTCTGCTCCTCAAAGATCTTGTCCTTGATGATCTTGACGAGATCCTCCACGCTGCCCCAGCAGTCCGGCTCTATGGTGGTGTACAGGCATGGCAGAGTCTCAAGCTCCTTCTCCTTGAAGCGGCACATCTTCAAGAAGTCCTCCTCTGAATCCACTCTAAGAAGCCTTCTGCTCTCACACACACACACACACACACACACACACACACACACATTTTAAGAATAAAATAAGAAGATTTCTCAATACTTATGTCACACTTTCAGAACTCTTCGATGGTTCAAAAAAAGGGGGTGATCGAGCATCAAAAAAAGGGTTACATTAGAATATGTTCTGTTTAATTACTTTTATCTGAGCACAACCTAATGATTATAAGATTTTTTCTGATTTACGGGAGACACTGATTAATGTCATTCAATGTAATACTAGTTTATATACAAAGTGTTATTAGATTATATGCTGAACAACTCAAAATACTAATACATGTCATTTTAAATCTTTACATTTTGTCACAATCCATCAAACCACTATAGGTTTCATTTATCGGCAAGATGTCAGCACTTATTGTTTTACATTTTAAGAAATACAGGGCAGAGAAAATATGTTGTTTAATTTTTTGTTAGATAAGTACGGTTTTGATCAAGGTCTGTTGTGCTAAGTAATGATTATTTTGTCATACAGTAGGTGCAGATTCGCTGATTCCTTAGAATGGTTATCTTTATATCAAAGGAAGAAATTATATTTGTACTTATTTACTTTATAAGTTCTCTTCTCTATTTTTCTAATTTGCAAACAATTCACATAAATAACCAACACACTAGATTTGGTTCCTGAATTCAGTTAACAGGCCCAAGGGTATTGTCAAAATGTGCTTTTTCCTTTTATGGTCCTCGGGTTTGAAATGATTTGCAAAATCGGCTTAATCTTGACACACTTTTCATGAGTGCCTATAAACATCTTCTGTATAACGTTTTAAAGCATACCTGTACTTGTTTTTTACAGTTTGATCTTTTGTATGAGTGGTGTTTTTAACTTTGTGGTATTGTTTTCTTTGATTTTTTTGAGTGAAACTTTATGTGCTGCCTGCCGTCTTGACCAGGTCTTACTGCAAGAAGAGATAGTACTGTCTCAATGTGATCGCCTGGCTAAATAAAGAAAATACTAATTAATTTGACTGATATTTTGGCAAATTACTTTGACAGAAGGTGCTTAAATATAATATGCTTTCTACTGTATGTACTTTATATAAAATTACTTTTTTAGATAAGGACACCAAACTATTATATGAGCCAATGCTATTGCAATTTTAATAAAACTAAAGCCTTTTCTTACTTGAAATAAATGTTATAAAAAATATCGAATATCTTTTTTCATTCTACCCAACTAAATAATATTTACTTTTTTGGGTAATTTAACTAAACTAAAAAGAAAGAAAGAAAGAAAGAAAGAAAGAAAGAAAGAAAGAAAGAAAGAAAAAAAAGAAAGAAAGAAAGAAAGAAAGAAAGAAAGAAAGAAAGAAAGAAAAAAAGATGTTAATTAAAAAAGACTTTACCAAAAACACTTTAGTAAACTTTAGAATATTTACATTTTTCAGTTATTTTTAAATAAACAATAAACATAACAAACAAACATATATATATATATATATATATATATATATATATATATATATATATATATATATATATATATATATATATATATATATATATATATATATAAAGAAAGAAAGAAAGAAAGAAAGAAAGAAAGAAAGAAAGAAAGATTTTATACAGAAATTATAGCTTTCCACAATGATTTCTTTCATAAAATTTCAGCATAAAATAAGAACTGTATGTGGTATGAGAGGGATTCATATTTTCTTTTAGATTCAGAATATTTTACTAGTTTTATTGGCTTAATTTCATGTTTGTTTTATTTATCTTTATATGTGTTTCGTATGAGTTTATATGTGCAAAACTGTGCATTAACAAGCAAATTGTCTTTTACTGTAGGTCCACAGAGCAAGAATAAATGATCCACAGTTTGGACAATTTGATTGCTATCTATTAAGTATTGAGAAATGCAAGAGAAAAAAGTGTATGCAGTGAGTCTTTTGACTTGCTTTATTTTTCTGATGTTTCTCTCGCAGACTTTGATAAAAATGACGATGGGGAAGATCTCTCTCCTCAGCAGGTCTTTCACACAGCACAGATCGGCCTCCAGAAGACAGTGCTTATTCTAGGAAACAAAATCATTTTGCTCTTAAATATGCAAATAAAGATCACTATAAACAATATTAAAAACATGAACAATTTAAACAAACAAAAAAAAGTCACTTTCGTTTGAGTCATATTTATGGCACACCTCTCAAAAAATGTGAGATTTGCAGTGGAAAATTAGACTCATCTCCAGACACAATAGCAAGTGAAAAACAATATGCTGCCACTCATCTAACCACCTGATAAAACCCCAGCACAGCAAACTGCATCTGCAGCCATCAGGAGCCGTCTGTCTCCTACAGTACTTACAAACCACTGCAGATTCCCTTCTTTATCACACAACTGATGCTTATGGGTGTTTATCATATTTAATGTCCTCTGTGTAGGCAACATACATTATTTTAATGCAAACAAACATTCTAAATAAAATTCTTTAGTCAAATAAAGCAATTGTACCTCTTTTCGCATTTTGCATTTTTTAAGTTTTGCCCACCTGGGCTTCAAATGGAGGGTGAGAAATCTCACAAGTTAAAATAAAATAAAATAAAAATTGAACCCTAATAAGCAATAAAATTTGCGACCAATTTTTGCATTTGGAGCTCTATTGGACCCAAAGAATTGTTTTTAAATAACTGTTATCCACCCCCCCCCCCTTTAATAAAGTATGGGAGAAATTACAATGTTTTACTATTATTTTAATACTTTTTAAATAAACAAAGATTTGAAATGTGATATCATGCTGAAACAAACATTCTCTTAAGTAAAGAAAGTCTCTTCTGCTTTTAAGGCTACATTTAATTAATCAACAATTCAATAAAAACAGTAATACTGTAGAAAATATTATTTAATTTATATTTATATATAAACTTATTATAATTTATAATAATTCAATTTTTATATATTGTAAAATATAGTTTTTTTCCTTTGATTCAACTTAGATTTAACAACAATAATTAAATATAAACTTTCAACTTGCAGTATATATAAATTTATATATGTTAGCGGGTCATTTTGCTGTGGTGGCCGCTGATAAAGAAGCAAGTATAAAGAAGGGAATCAGCTGAAGGTAAGTGAGTGTATATTCAAACTTAACCAATGAAAGGAGGGACTCTGACCATGCAACCCACATCCTAAGATGTCTTCATTAGCTTCCTTTTAATTCTACAGGTAAGTTTAAAATTAAATTTTTGATTTACAAATCATTAAATCATCTAGCACCTATTTATTTGTTCGATCTGCTCCACTTATATTCACCTACCAGAAGTGTTAGATCGGAAACTAAATTCCTCCTGAAAATACACAGATCTGGGCTAAAATCAAGGGCAAATTGAGCTTTTGAAGTGGCTGGCACTCTCTACAAGCTCATCATCTGCTTTGTCTGTGTTCAAGTCTTGCTTTTAAACTAATGCATTCTCTGTTGCATTTAGGTTATAATAAATATCATGTTTTATCTGATTTTTTTTTTCGTCTTTTTTAATCTTATTAGTCTTAAATGTGCAGAAATTTGATTGTTTTTAAATATGGTTTTTAAATATAATACTGTTTATAATTTATATATATATATATATGTATGTATATATATATATATATATATGTGTGTGTGTGTGTGTGTGTGTGTGTGTGTGTGTATTCATGAATTTATTTTTCAATCTATAATCTTATTTTTTATATAATTACAATCAATATACTATACATTCAGTATACAATAATCTGAGATTTAACCCTTTTAACACTTTTGGAATAATTTATATTTGCATAAAACCATTTATAAACTTGTAATCTCCATATTTAATTCTAAGAAAAGGAATATATAAGAATGTAAACAATACTCAGGGTTTTCAAAACAATGTAATGCAATGTAATGTAATGTAATGTGTATTGATATAACCCATTTATCATGTTTGGCCATACACCTAAAGTGCTTCACAATCATAAGGGGGTCTCTCCACACCAACAGTGTGCCGCATCCACTTGAATTAGTTAATTGTTTCATGATTTGATGTTAGATAGCAGGTGCACACTTTCATCAACAAAAATCAGTTTTAAAAGAGTGTTAGATATGAATAAGTAACTTGAAAAAATGTCTTTCAATAAAAGTAATTCATTAATTTTCCTCCAGCCTAGTTGCAACAGCAGAATGAACTGCCAACTACTCTGGCATGGTTTTACACAGAAGATTCCCTTATAGCACCATGCTGGGACATTAGACAGAAGTATGTACCAAATATGTTTTACTGATGTTATTTAAATTAAATGTATTAAATGTTTGCTTCATAGAAGTGCTCCATAAACACACACACACAAGTCCAAATTGACCCGAACATGAAACAAATAATTTTAATGGTTATACTCAATGTCTTCAAAATAGTTAAATAATAAATAAAGAATAAATATGAAATAAATGATTTGCATTTTGATCATCTTAAAGCATCTGCAAAACCATACACTTATTTTAATGCATCACTTCCGTGTCAGAAGCACTATTAATGCATTAGGAGTGTTAATTTGTGTTTAGTCAGTGTTGAGTCAGTATATTATATAATCATTTTATAATCAGAGTGCACAAACCCTTTAACCCCATAATGACAAGTGTGAAGCATTGCTTAACTCGGGATTAAAAGTGGCCATAACTAGTAGTTAAGGCCCCGTTTACACTAATGCGTTTTAGTTTGAAAACGCATAAGTTTTGCTACGGTTACGCCATCCGTCCACACTACGCCGGAGTTCTCGAGCGCCGAAAACGGAGCGTTTCGAAAACGCTGGAGAGGGCGTTTTCATTCTGAAACGCTGCTGCTCCGTCTCAGTGTGGATGGGGAAAGACGGAGATATCTGAAAACGGAGGCGGGGCTGCAGACATTCGCCTCTCTGATTGGGGCTTTTCCTCAATATTAAGTAGCCTAACACACAGTTCAGTCCTGAATCTTCTCCGTGTAAGTTCAGACTTCGCAAGTTTGATCAAGGCTGCATCTCTTCTTCTCAGTTTGATATGGAAAACATACCGAGGACACGGGTAAATCTTCACAGGGAACAGTGTACTTTATAACTTCATTCACATCACCTTGGCTACGTTGTTTCACTTTCTCAACAATAAAATGTAAACTTGATATAAGGAACTGCCTATTTTTATTTTAATATTAACAACTAAACAGACAGCAGACATGTTGAGGCGTCGTGCTGCATGAGCGTCATCTTCACTGTGTGCATATTTATAACAAAACGGAGCCGATAACAACTGCCTCCTTTCAATTTCAGTGAAAATACGAAACACACCCTCTCTTTTGCTGAATATCAGTTTTAATAATCGATAATGGCCATTATAAAAGTATAACATACAATAAGTTTATACATTATAGGAAATAAAGGCAAGCGATCAGTCAATATACAGAATGTAGGCTACGTGCTTACATTAATCATTAACTTATCTTTGCGCTCAGCCAAAACACGTTACCTGAGAACAAGTAATAGATTCCAGTGACCAAAGTCAGGGAATATGTCGTTAGATAAAGACAACAAGATGAATGAAATATCACGTTTAATAAATATAGTGAGATTAGATCCAGCGGGAGATGCTTGATGAGAAGTCCGACTAGCAGAGCTCTCATCTGGGTAGATGGGCTCCAGCGATTGCCAAAGTGTGTGTGTGTGGTCACGTGATGTGCGTTTTCAGCGTTTTGGTGTGGACGGAGAGCAGTTCAGAAACGCTGGGTAAAACGCGAGTGTGGACGCGGATCGTTTTCATTCTAAAACGCCGTTTTAAAACTAATACGCACTAGTGTAAACGGGGCCTAAGAGTTTAGGACAGATGCCGTGTGAAAAATCGCACGGATGTCTTTGGGAAAGTGTTAATGCTCTCACTGAGTGGAAGCACTTTGAAATAAAATTGCTGGGCAAAACAGCGAACGCATAAATATCTGACAAGCCTCTTGAGTAAGCAGAAGAAATGACAGCACATGAAAAGCAAAAACATAATTTAGCTATTATTAAATTCTTCTGAAAAGAGCATTTATTACTGTACCTTGAAGGCAACGGCTTCTATATTTTCTGGGGTGATGCATTCATACGTGCCCGCCTGCTTTTCTTTGGAATAAATGATGGGCTCTATCTTCTGTTTCATGAGGAATTCATCTTTTGTCACAATGTCTGCGAAGAAGATGAATTAGAAGTTATAAACAGGCATGTTAGGGAAAACACTGTGAGGATTTAAAGCATTGCGGCTGTGAATCAACATCGCATTTGTGAATCTTTTTATTAAAGTAATAACTAGTTGAAGATCCATTACAATTAAAACTCCGCTGGGGATGTTTAGTCAAACACAAAAGCTGTGATCTTAACAAACAATTAGTATTTGCATTTCATTCTCACATTCTGAGACTTATTGAAAGAATCTGCTGATATGTGCTTTTCTTTTGTATATAAATCTAAAGCAATTTGTTTTAAACTTCTCTTTGCAAACTCTGAAACTTAAGCTGTTTCTTTGACCATGAAGCTGTAAATAAGTAGCTGTATAGTAATTTAAACTGGTAAACTTTATTTGATGATGTTCTTGTTACACTCGAAAATATTTTTTTTAAATTTGTTCAAATTACTTAATTAAAATGAACTGAAACAACACAATTCTTGAGATTTCAATGGGACTACTTAATTGTTTTATGCTCAATCCAAATAAATGTTAAGAGTGTTAAGTTAACTTAATTAATTTGTGTTGGGACAACATGAATGAATTGTGTGGAACCCTGCTTTTTTACAATGTACAATGTAATAGTTACATTGTAACAAGGATTTAGGTGCTGAGTAATATTATTTAATTGCATGTACTTACTATTTGTTTAGGCTTAGAATGCAAGTTGTTTAGGGTTAGTTCCATGTAATCATGCAAAATTAATTGTAATAGCTATAGTAAGTACATGGAACTTCTTGAAGAAGGGCGCCCTATTTTATAAAGTAAATCAATTTTTTTTTAACTATCAACTATCAAAGAAATCATCAAGAACAAGAATGAAATTTAAATTCAGCATTGCCTTTTGCGTGAATTCCTATATTGGACTGACTGTTTCACCACTGAATGCAAGAACAGACTTTGGGAGACTCAGGTCTGTTTCCACCTAGCATTCACATGTTTTCAGTGATCATGTAACCGTTGTTCTTTAGTTTATTTATATTTAGTGGGACAATGTACAACATGACATGTTCTTTCAGAGTTAGCTATGAAGCTACTTTACATCTGTAGTCCCTGGGCATGAAGTCGTAACAAGTTTAAGAATATAAAAAATATAAAAAATAGTACAATATAAACTTACAGTACAATACATACAATACATAACAGTCAATAAAATGAAATTAAATCAGTGGTTGCATATTTCATTTTGCTTAAGCCTAACTTTAAGCACGGTTTTAAAAATATTAAAAGCGGTACTCTTTTTCTAATATACACTAATACTTTTATTCTATCTTTCTGCTACTCTGACTGAAAAAAACGGATCTTCAAACAGCAGTTATTTTAAGTATAACAAAACAATCACCTCTAACCGATGACCTAGTCTGTCATATATTGTCCTTGCAAACAATCACACATTGTTTGAGTCATGACCATTAGCAATATCGCTTTGACTTAACATGCTCTTCAGTGTGTCTCTTGAGACCATTTGTGTACAGATTTTATCAAAACCCTCAAGTCTCATTTCTCATAGGAATGCACAAGTGCAACTTAATGAAAAAAAATCCATGTTACACAGCTTATGAAAATGCATAAATGAAAAGAATATGAATACAATTTGTGACTTTGATCATAATGTGTTTTGGTACAACACACTGAAATATAAATATCCTGATTAGGCAAGCCTTCTAACAACGCATCCCTAATGATCACGTTTTGTCAGTAGAAGGATTGTAGATGATCTTTTCTTTTAATCATGTTTACCTCTGAAATTTGTCAAAAGTAGACAAGCTCAAAACATTTTAAACTCAATTCATATCTGTATTTAATGTCCTCCACTTGTAACTGAATTGCTAGAAATGATTCATTTTAAATATGATCCTTGTTTCCCAATTAAAGATCAATAAAAGCTTTGACAAATTAAGACAAATTTAAGATTTGGCACCTCATTTAGCTTGCTGTATCTTATACAACAGTTTGCTCTGGTTCTTAAATCTGATCTTTTTAGATATGCAATATTATACTATGGGAACTGCTGAAAGTAGTGTTTTACACTGCAAATATGCAGTTTATTTATGAATAGAGTGCTTATTTGGAAATGATTTTCAATTATTTTAAGTGAGCTCCAGCATTACAGCAATGGTTCAGTGCTCATGAACCCACCAAGATCAGCCTTCCCACCAGCTCTGATGGATGTCTCTAAACAAAATATATAATTCATTTGGGTGTAACTAAGGGTCAATCTTTAGTCTTGTTAATCTATGATGTGTTCCAGAGCAAACAATTTTGGCGAAATAAAATATGCTCATGTAATTTAAATCCTGTATGTATTTTGAACTCTTTGACTGACTGAAATGCTTGGCAAATTAGCTACTGGTGATTATAAAGTATGATTGTTTAGTAAATAAAATACGATATAACAATGTTTAAAAGCAGTATTGAGAAACAATCATAATAATGATTGTGATTTTAGTGCAGGTTATATCGTTACATCATTCGACTGCCAGCAAAAGTTGAGTTCCACAGGAATATGCAAAATGTGAACAATCAAGATTTTATTTTACCCACTAAACATTTTTTATGTTTAAAAGATGTCTAATAGACATCCAAACAAAAATTGTTTGGCTAAAACAGTTGACTAAATTTGGGTTGGAAAATGTAATTGATGTCTAGCAATAGTCCAAAACCAGACTAGTCATCAAATAGACAGGAATAAATGACTATACATGTGAAGTCCATCTAATCTGTCTACTTGCTGAAGAGTCATTTTTTGGACTATTGTTAGATGTCTATTAGATTTCCACTGAAAGCTCAAATTTGAGCAATTTAACCTTGCTTAATCCAAGATATTGAAGTTTGGACATCTATTAAAAATTGTTTGTTTTTTAAATGCAAAATTGCTTTGTTAACCCTTGTGCGCTGTTCAAATTTACTTCCCTTTTGTTATGTTAGAGATGAAAAAATTCACTAAATTAAACTGCTGTAAAAATGCATCAGATGATTATTTTTTGCAATTGTGTGCCATAAATCTGTTAATCAACCCAAGTCCTAATCAAAACTACAAATTATTTGAGAAAATTACAGCATTTTAACTCTTTAATTGCCAAATTTACAAATGATGTCACTTATTTGGTGAAAAAAAACACAAAATTATGTATTTTTATTGTAAAAATTAGTTGTGGACTGTATTTTTTTCCTTTTATCACAGTCTTTGACATGTGGATGATTAGTAACAAAATTGGCTTTGTTGCATTGTTAGATTTCTCCCTAATTTACTGTTGGTGGCTATTTTTCCCCATTGACTTCCATTATAACCACATTTGATGGTGCATAAATAATCTTTGTTTTTATTTACTCCATGTAGTTCTAATATGAGATTCATATTTCAATTTTATCAGACGCATCAGGGTAGTTGTGTACAGGTCACTCTCACACACTCACAAACACACATAAACACAATTTAATTTGCTGTTATACTCCATATAAAATCCAGAAACTAAGCTTTTTGCACAAGCCTATCAAAAGGATTAATGGTGCCAACTGAAGATTAACAGTAAAAATGATCAATTTTACCTCTTCCCAACAGGAAAAACCACCAACAATCAAAAATGCATGATTGTATGGTATTAATTTTATATTGCAAATATATCATTTTGTTTTTTTTACCAAATCAGTGACATCGTTCATGAATTAGGCAACTAAAGCGTTAAAATCCTGTAATTTTCTAATTAATTTAGTAGTTTTGATTAGGACCGAGGTTAAAGAACAGATTTTTTTATGCAAAAAAAAAAAATGAAGAATATTAGTGAATCATTTAATATTTTTAACCCCAACATAACAAAAGGGTAGTACATTTGCCCAGAATGTATCGTTGAGTTCAAATAATTTTCTCAAAATTCGTGTCAATGTCAACATAAGATTTGTCTCCAAAAATCATTCTGCTAGCTGAAACACAGAAACAGTTGTGACCAAATTAAGACACAAAATCACTCCAGAGTGGATAAAAACATCCCCAACAGCTCAAACAGGTTAATAATGTGTTGTTTCCATACATTCTTTAAATTAGTTATTTAATTCAACATCAGTCTTGTAAAGCAAAGTAGGCTATTCGACTTCACAATGGTAAATGGTAAATTTTTCAAAAAATAGAAAGGAAATCAATCAGAAAAATAACAAAAGTAAAAATAACAACAAACTAACAGTGTTTATTACAGTAGCTATTAGATCTCCATTCCCAATTAATAATTGATAATGTTTTTCCAAGTGTGTGCTAAACATAACCCAGTGAGTGGGCTGTTCTAGTGACATAACACATGAAGTCATGGAACAAATTAAAATAAAGATCCTGTTACTACGAAGGATATGTCATATACATAACCCATAGTTAATAATAGCAGCTACTGTTTCTATTTACAGAAAAAAACACCATCATCCTTCCTCCACAGTGTTCTCTAATATTTACAAACCATCTCCAGCCGTTTTACCTGGTTTCCATGAAGTGAACTCCATAGCACCTCCCAGATTCAGGAACTTCTGGACGATGGTTTTGGCTAGGATGTTAGGGGTGAAGAGGATGGGCCTTTTACGCTGGCATTGGTGTGGGGTCACTAGACTGTACGGGATGAGATTCAAGCTCTTGTTCAAGTCACTCTCTGGGTCAGACGTGTCTGAGGAATAGTAACAATTCATAGGTTATTTTAATTCAGTATTAACGCAATATATATATATATATATATATATATATATATATATATATATATATATATATATATATATATTATATAATTACAGATTAAGTCAGAATTATTGCCTTTCTGTTAAATTGTAATTCTTTTATATTTGTAAATTTATTCAACTTATTTTTTAACTTTACTAATTTCTAACAACTGATTTCTTATATCTTTGCCATGATGACAGTACAAAAATATTTTACTAGTTATTTTTCAAGATGCTAGTATTAGGCTTTAAGGGCAATTTAAAGGCTCATCTAGGTTAATTAGGTTAGTAAGGGTTAACTAGGCAAGTTAAGGTAACTAGGCAAGTCATCGTGTTATAATAGTCTCTGTAGACAATTGGAAAAAAAATATTGCTTATGGGGGCTAATAATTTTGACATTAAAATATTAAAAAATATATAAAAAAATACTTTTATTCTGGTCAGAAAAAAAAACACAAGACTGTCTCCAGAAGAAAAAATAGTATCGGAAATACAGTGAAAATTTCCTTGCTCTGTTAAACATCATTTTGGAAATATTTGAAAAACTAAAAGCTATAAATATTTGGAGTTTGACCTCAAAAAAGGGCTGTTTCTAACCAATAAATACATTTTTGACCATGACTTGGTCAAAATGTAGTTCTTGTAAATATTTCAAGATTTTATTTTCATGACTGCAAACAACAAAGAATTCTTCGAAACAAACAAACACAGATGATGGTGGGCAGTTTTACCCTCAGGCCTCAGTGTTTCAAAACCTGGTCTGGAAACGGATGATGGATTTCCTCCATTGACAATGCGGACACGCTCACTGCTGTTCATCCTCTTGTACTTGTTATCCACCCTGCTGACAAACTGACACCAGGGTTTTCTTTTAATCTCAGCAGGTCTGTGCTCTTTTTTTATCAGCAATAAGACCTCGGCACTATGGCAGGATGAGCAAACTCAAGAGAACCTGTTACCTGTAATATCTGAGAGATGAAGACACTGGCTCTGGACAGACGTGGACTACACTTGGGGTCAGAAGATGGTGCGGGCTCGTCGGGTTGTAGGGGGCTCTGTGGGCACAATTGGAAAAGAGAGGCTTCATTAGAAGACATGAAAAATGAGATTTACCACATGCAATGAATATCACATCACAGTTATGAACAGTGTTGGGGGTAACGCATTACAAGTAATGTGAGTTACATAATAATATTATTTTTCTAGATAAAGAGTAAAGTAACGCATCACTTAAAAAAAATAATAAATCAATTTGAGTAATATTTTGAAAAGGTAACGCGAGTTACTTCTTAGTTTAATTATTTGCTTTTAAAAAATAAATTGTTGAATTAAAATTAAAATCACAATGAATATTGCCGACAGTGAGAGAATGTGTTCATTATTTTTAATGCTCAGAAGCAAAGAAAAAGAGGATTGTCTCAATGAACTGTGATTTTACTTAAGACAAATAGTACAAAAGTAACAAACACATTGCTTTAAACTTTTAATACAGATATATATGGCATGTACAGCTCTGGGGTCAGGAACATAACATTAAAATTATTATGTTTTATATGTGCTTAAAGGTAAATGAATGTGTAAGTTATACAGTGCATTGTTAATTGCAGAGTGCCTCTATTTAAAGGAAAAAGAAGAAAAAAAAACTTTCTGAAAGAGATCAAGCCTCAGATAGGTACTATAAAGTAATGCAAAACTAACTCAAAAGTAATGTAACCCATTACTTACTATAAAAAGTAACTAAGTAACGCAAGTATTTTTGGGGGAGAAACTCAATATTGTAATGCTTTACTTTCTAAAGTAACTTTCCAAAGCACTGGTTATGAATAATATAACATTTGATCATGTTTGATCAATTTTCTACTCAGTACTGAGCAACCCTGATGACCAACATTGAATTACCATAATACAGAAATTAGTCATACACAAAAATTCTACTACTTATGACTGATGTTATAAATAGACTTTTAAGCCAAGGATTATATCTTTATCAATAGTTTGAAAAAGAGTTCCCTGTCTTTAAGACTAGGGAAGTCTCATGCAAATAATAATATAATTCTGTGATTAAAGAGCTCACGATTGTTGCTGAATAATGCTGAAGGATTGCTCTGGATTAAAAGTCAAAATGTTGATGAATAATGTTCTGTTATTTACACAGATATATTGTCAATGTTTTGTTCTGTTTTTTTTCTAAAACTGCTAGAAGTCATTTACTTGCATTGTATGAGTTGTCAACGATCACGATTTATTCTTTAATATCCTGTTAAAGAAAACCTTACAATTTGAAAGTCCAATTGCTGGATAAATTAATAGCAATTTGTAATTTGTATCCTTTTAAATATACATGTGAACATTTTGAGTTTACTTGCTTCATTCGTGCATCAAATTCACTTTACAATACATTTGGATTTGCATCATGGGCGGGGCTTCTGTCCGCCCAGTGACTCTAGCTTCGTTGCTAAATGGCTAACATAGATTTTACTGAGAGAGTAGCTGTGATTTATGTGCTTTCGAAAGCCTGAAAAACAGAGTAGATTCGTTCGAGTCCACTAGATCCTTTTCAGAGGTGCACCCAGTAAAACACATGCTGCCATTTAGCAATGAAACTAGAGTCACCGGGCAGACAGAAGCCCCACCCATGATGCAAATCTGTGTCTATTGCGACTTGAACTTCACACACGAATGAAGCAAATTTGACGAGCAAAAAAAGCAAGTGATCTCCAAATGTCAATGCATCTTCTTACAAGCGAATATCCTGATTATTTTTCATTTAACACAAGTTCCTTTTTACTTTAATAAATTAGCTTTTAAGAACTAAATTGCTGAATTAAAATTGAAGTAGTCACAATGAATCATGCAGACAGCCAGTGAATGTGTTCAATATTTTGAAAGAATCAAAGAAAAGGCAAAGGGGATTGTCTCAATAGACAGTGATTTTACTTAGGACAAATAGAACAAAAGTAACAAACACATTGCTTTTAACTTTCAATACAGATATCAGACCCCCTAGTTTTTCGCAATTCCGTGATCGCTGAATCCAATACAAAATCAACAAAAAGTCGCAAATTTTTGCAATCCTTCAGAATTCTTAATTAAATTCTAATTACTTTAATTTTGCAAATAAAGTAATTGCAAAAAAATGTAAATAAACTCATAAAACATCCAACTTCAAACCATTTCAAAAGATCACACTTAGCTAATGATTTATAAAAGCTTGTTTGGCATGCTGTCCCGGGAGAGAGCCCCGAGTTCAAGGGATCCTCGAGCCCGGGGCTTCCTCCTGTTGGCAGAGCGAGAGGGGAGCCTGAGCTCGGTGGATCTCAGAACTCCCCGACTGCCGTAAATAAGGGAACAGAGGAGTTAGACAAATGCTTGATTGGTATACGTGTTGTCTTTGGATTGTGGGAGGAAACCGGAGAACCCAGGGAAAACCCACGCGGACACGGGGAGAACATACAAACTCCTCACAGAAACACCCATCGGCCCTAAGGGACCAGGGCCGGCAGTGTTCTTGCTGTGGGGCTCGCAGTGCTAACCACTGGGCCGCCGTGCCGCCCAATCAGAGGTAAAGGAGGAGAATAGGGGAGGAGGGGGGTTTCTTCCAAAACAAAGATAAAATGAGCTAAAAACTGTGGTTATTTATAGTAGCTTAGGGCTCATATGATTGGAAGATAGCGATTAGCAAATACGGGACCGGCCGTTATAAAAAAATTTTCTCCGTGTGCTCTGGTTTCCCCCACAGTCCAAAGACATGCGGTACAGGTGAATTGGGTAAGCTAAATTGTATGTTAGTGTATAAGTGTCCAGAGTGTGAATGAGTGTGTATAAATGTTTCCCAGAAATGGGTTGCAGCTGGAAGGGCATCTGCTGCGTAAAACATGTGCTGTATAAGTTGGCAGGTCATTCCGCTTTGGCGACCCCATATTAATAAAGGGACTAAGCCGAAAAGAAAATGTATGAATATTTCAGTTAGCAATTTATTGTTTAACATGACTTATAGACATTGCACACACAGCGCACGGCATGTATTTGAGTGTCTCTCGAAAACTGACAACTCACCTGCACCCTCAACGGCTAGCAGTCATTGACTTGCATTGTATGAATCGCCAACGATCAAAAATGATTCTTCAACATTCTGTTGAAGAAAACCCTACATTTTGAAAGTCCAATTGGTGGGTAAATTTATAGCAGTTTGTAATTTGTAGACAAACTATCATTTTAAAGAGACTGACCATGTGAAAGAGATCCTAATACTTTGTATTGTTTAATTAATTCACATTTTAAAACATGAATTGTCCATTTAAAGATGATTTATTTGTATAAAGTGTATGTATTAATTACTAAACTGATAAACTGCTTCTTCAATTTATTTTTGAAGGGTCACTCTTAGTTTTCCATACAGCAGATGCATAAAACAAACAGAATAAATTAAAGTCATTTTGCCATTAATGAATAAAAAGAATAAAACAGTGAGTTTCTGCCAACGAAGTAAAGTCATCAAAATAAATAAATTATGACAGACTTTCTAGGTTCTATAAGTTACCAAACAGTATAACTCTATAAGTTACTGTCCCTGTAATTGCCTTTCAGTTTGTGCAGAATCAGTTTACCCTCATCTATGAATGTGAAACCCAAAACAAGATGCATTTCCCCAACAATCCATAAGAAACTGACCCGGATCACTCTCAGAGTGTCGACATCTTCTCGGCCTCCTCGACACATCAGCTTCTGAATCTTCACCAAGAGGAGCTGCTGGGCTCTGGGGAGGAGGTGACAGCTAAGTTCACTTAACAGCTTCTCGTCACAGTCAACAGACAAAAAAAAAATGCACACCCACACGCTCACCAACACACTGACAGGCAATCTGCAGCAGGCAATAGACCAGTGTTCACACTTGGTTTGAAAACCGACACAATAATGGTCACTCATTTCTTCCTCACCTTGAGTAACTCGGTATGGTGCCTTTGTCCAGGTCCTTGTCTGTGAAAGGGTCGACACGGGCACACAGCCATTCGCATTTGTCTTGATGCATGGTGTCCAGAACATGGAGGACCTCGTCACATCTGACATTCAGCGAGCAGTTATCAGACTGGCTGGAGATGTTCAGATTGAGACGTATGTAGAAGGAGTCTCCAGATACCACTGTGCCGTCTTCAATATCCTTCACCAGCCGCCTGTAGCCTGGAAACGAGAAAGCGGAGGGTCAAAGCAAAGCAACCTATACTTATCATGACAAACTATATATAATGTGCGTCGTACATCATTTTCCAACCCAGGCTCATTGGAGATACGTGGCCAGGGTTACATATTTAAGAACTGTGAAATATGTGCCCGAGGCAATATATGCTTAAGGTTTTTGTCTTCACAAAATCACAAGAGGTTGCAGTGTACATATTTGACAATCTCAAATACGTTACTAGTGCACGTTTTCTCAAACACACCATTTTTCATTAATCCACTAGAGGCCGCCAGGTACATATTTCACAATCTTAAATACTTTGCCGGGGCAAATTTTCTCGTACATGCCATTTTTCATAAATCCACCAAAGGCCGCTGTGTACATTGGTGCATATCTCAACGTCCTGCTCATGACCGTCTGTAAAAAGAAGCCAGTAGGTCTGTTGTTATCAACTGAACCTCCCACCTTCCCCTTCCCTAAACGCAACCGTTTGTTTTTTTTAAAAGAAAACTAGAAGAGAAAAGCCATCACAAACGTACGCTTTTACCACTATTTCACATTATTGTCACTTTTTTTTCTTTTTACCTGGAACCATTCTTCACTGGACTCGAGTCTGACGCCTTACGTGGCAAAGCGGTCACGCCGAAAAATAAAGAGGCAAGCGGACAGCGGTATAGTGCAAAAAGCAACAGAATTTTTGAGAAGTGTCATTCAACCACCTACTTTTGTTTTACATACAAAACGCAACCATACGTAGGCCCATGCACATATTTTGCAGTTCTCAAATATGCAGTCCTGGGCACATATTCCCAATGAGCCTGTGTTGCAATTTTTAAGAGTGAACTCAACAATTGGGGTTACAGTTAAAAGGCTAAATATAATGTTTGAATCTATTTGTTTACTACTTGCAGTTTAGTTTAATACATGCAAACTAGAGCATGTGTGAGACTCATGCTGTCTCAACTTATGCTGTCTTACTATTTGAGCACATGCACTTTGTTTAAGCAGCTGATTTGAGAGGTACTTCACCACTACTTTGCTCTGTTATGTGAGATTATTGTTTAATCATATACACAGAAATCACAGCATCTTCATAACAGACCATCACAGTTAAATTCTGGTTTAGTTTTTGTTAGTTAGTTAGTTAGTTGGTTGGTTGGTTGGTTGGTTGGTTAGTTGGTTAGTTGGTTAGTTGGTTAGTTGGTTAGTTGGTTAGTTAGTTAGTTAGTTAGTTAGTTAGTTAGTTAGTTAGTTAGTTTTTTTCAGATTATTTAGAAATAAATGTAAAACAGTTATTAAAATGCACTTCTTGGTAAACTCTTAATGGGTTGTTCTTAAATTTAATGTTTTATAATTTCTGGATGTGCTTTTGGATTACAAGGAAGAAAAAAAACTGAATCATAAATCATTTAACCATAAAAATCTGAATTTCACAAATAATTAAATAACATTTGAGAAAAACTAAAATAGATTTCATCTAAATATCATGGTGTGTGATGGACGAACAGTTGGTGTTCATACCAAACAGAGCAGCACATTTGATTCAGATAGAGCCATAAGCCAAAAAGACCAAAGCCTCATGTTTCTTTGGAGTCTGAATGCATTATTTGGCTCCTACCAGGACTGTTTCAAAGTATTCAACTCCTCTAACCTCCCCTATCTGCAAATACATCTTTTTAAAATCTTCTATTTAAGAGTTATTTAAGACTCACTGTCATAGCTGGATTTGTAATGAAGATGCACTTGTCCAGAACATCTCTGCAGGGTCCAGTGGGCTTCTTCTTTAGTGCTGGTGTCTAAAGACACACTCTCTGCTTTTCCATGAACATTTCCCTCCAGCTAGAGGACAAATTAAACCAAAAGGTTAATTCTACTTCTACTACCTCAATAGGTGTTTTGGTTGCAAACACAAACAGGATTTCTAGTAAATCTCACCATTAAAAGATGAAATCCGACTTTAACTCCAGCCAGATCTGCATCAGAGCCAGACTGGACAGAGTTCACGAAGATGCCACTATCATTTCCACCAATCAGAGTGATTTCAGACAAAAGGTTTTCTCCAGAGAGAGAAAGGCTCTGAACCGTTCGCAATGAGTTTCGTGGAGGGCCTGAGGTCAATGAAGGACGAAAAGGTCTAGAGAAGAAGGAAAAAATCAAAAGAGTGATATTGTGGAGTCTGGATAAATTGAGATGACAGAAACTGAGATTTCTTCCCTCTTAAGAATAGCAAAAAGTGAAGTGCTCAAAGACCCATTATAGAAGTACTCTAAGATTATAACTAAAATAATAAAACAAAAAAAAAAACCTCTCCAACGAGAATTTCCTGAAGATGTTATTGACTTGCTCCAGATCATACGAATCCATTATCTCAGACTGGTGGGAAGAGGAAGATGAATTGATGGATGATGGTTCATGGTCATCTGCAGAAAAGAAAAGAGACATTTTTACAAAGACGAGTCACTTAAGTGTATGATTCAGACAGCAAGTGGGCGGAATAAATGATTTATGTGTGTTCATACCCATATCGGCATTGTCTCCACTGTCAGTATCTGCAGTGTCTGAAGGGAGAAAGCTGAAAGAAAGATACAGCACAGTCAGTTTTACTCTTCACTCCCAGCAACAAATTACTATCATTGCACTTTAGTTTCTAGCAATGCTAACTATGGGATTGTTGAGGAAATGCAAGGAAGTCTTTTCGGTGTTTGTATTATTGTCGTCGTTATGGCAACATTAGTTCAAACAGAACTTGTTTAAACAAAATGTTGTTAGACAAGGTTCCCGTTTCATGTAATTTGGATACACTGAACTACCCATTAAAATTAAGAATTATCACCCATGTTTACAATATAAAATTCTTATAATAAATAATAAATAAATGAATAAAAACTTATATATTTTTTCTTATAATTGACAATGAATATAAATATATATATTGAATATAAAACACTTTAAAGAGATAGGTACAACTGTACAGAAACCTTTATGATCCGTCCATGCATGATCATAGAGATAACCAGATTATCAATAATTCTTGGTTAGAAATTGCAACAGTCGTAGGAAAGAAGGAAAGTTTTTGGTAAAAAGTTTGGAAAAACCTGAGACATAAGTTTGTTAAAGCAAAAAGAGGCAATGGCAAAAGTGGAGACCCAGGTACACAATTACAGAAATATGTTTCAATATGGTCATATTTTTACACTGATGTATATATTAAAATTTTGAGTTTAAAACAATTGAATAGTTACAAAACTATGATTAAGGAACAAATTATTTCTTTGATAACTGGAAAAGAATATTTGAACCTATCAGTTTACAATATACTTATGGTCTGTTTTCCAGACTTTATTGGCGATAACAGTCAGGAATTTTGGACCATTACTGACTTTTTAGCATACGAAGAGGACAAAAACTAGCCAGAGAGTAATGTGTGAACTGTGGAGTGGGCCAAATAATAAAAAAAAAAAATCGGTATTTTTTATTAAGTGTACTTTTTGCTTTTATTATTTCCATAATAAAAAATATTTTTTGTCATTATTATTTTAATAAACTTTAATAAGTAAAACTGTCCGAGAAATGAACAAAAGTATGTGATTTATCAAAGTTTGATAAAAAAAATCCTTGAATGGTTATAAAAATCCTTATAATCATTAAAATAATTTTTAAAAATGATGAAAAATAATTAGTTTAAAAATATTGAAGATTTTTAATAATATGTCGTAGTTCCGGAAACTTTCTACTCTGTTTATCCGTCTGACGTTACAGTCAGTATCTTTTGACCGCTCCCTGTCATTCAAAAGAATATCACAACGGCATTTACAAGTATAACAAGTATAAAAGCCTCGTCTGTTTTGTGAGGTGCATGCGAACTCAGAGGAGGTCCGCGATGCAGCGCCAGGCGAAAGTATAAATCCAGCTTGAGTCAGACACTAGTCCTGTCATGTATGTTGTGCTTGGCTCGAGTTTTCTTGGGTTGAGCACTCATTTCCTGTTATTATGTGTCTTTTGCGTGAGCGCTATCTCGGCCGCACTCAGGCAGTGTGCGGTCCCGCTTAATGCGGGCACGAAGTCTGGGAGTGTTTGCGACACGCTCTCCTCCAGGTGTACTGTATGTGTTTGTTCTATCTGCAGCATGCCGTTTCATTCTCAGCATCTCAGTCTAGTTGGTTTCGGTTGTTGCTTGGATGAATGATAGTTGCATGTGTGAGTGCATGGACAGTTTTTATTTATTGTGTACTCGTGTCTTGCATTCAGTCTTCTGTTGGTGTTGTGTTTAGCACATGGTTTATGTGTACATGCGCCGCATGCTTTAGTGTTTCATGTGAACACACGTTTAATGACTTCTCTCATTGGCTGCGTGTTCAAATCTCATTTTATGTGAGCACATAGCTTATGTTGTTTGTGTGTCATGTGCTCTCCCGTCTATTGTCTAGTCCCACCCTCCTTGTTAACCCATTATTGGTTTATTATGTTCACCTGTTTGTGTGTTAATTACTTCTGCTTATATTCTCCTCATGTCTGCTGTCCTGTGCCAGTTTGTCATCGTTACTCATCTTGCCCTGTCATGTCCAGCCTTGTCCAGCCCTGCTCCCCCTTGTCAGCCCAGTCAAGTTTTTTTTTTTTTTGCCTTTTTGTTAATGTTTTGTCCCTTGAGGTAGTTTGTTTTGCTGTTTATTTTATTTTACTATTAATAAAAACCCATCATTTAGTTCTGCACTTGAGTCCTTGTCCTTTTCCCTACACCAACTGTGACAGGTAAAACTTTAACATAATGGTTCATTAGTTAATGTCAGTTAATGTACTTACTAACATGAACAAACAATAAGTAATACATTTATTACTTTAATTATTATGTTACTATTACTTATTATGTTAGTTAATGTTAGTTAAGTTAAATATCGTTACATCGTATTAACTGACAGTGCATTAACTAATGTTAACAAGCACAACATTGGATTTTAAAGGGCCGATGAAATTAAAAAAAAGTTTTATAATATTATATTATATAAAGTTTTATACATTTTTTATTATTAATTTTTAGGCTATCTATAAGCTAGTGTGCTCCAAAACAGTGACAAAAATTAGCATTTAGAAGATATAAAACTAAAGTAAACACGTGGATCAATGGTTTTATTCACATCACCTCACACTACAGATTCACATCACATCATAACCAATCATATGCTTTCTATATCTGGCATGCCCCGCCCCCTTCAAGACACTTTTCATTTGCTTTTCATTTGATGTGCTTCAGCTTAACCACTCTCACTGGCAGAGCAGTGATAATACAAAACGGTATTGGCTCTTTTTTAAAAAGGGGAGGAGCTACACTATGTCCCACCATCTCATTGTGTTTCAGTTGAGATTACGTCTTCACAGGACCTTTATTAATACACTAGTTAATGCTGTACTATGATTAATAAATGCTTTACAAGATTTCTCGGTAACACTTTACAATAAGGTTCATTAGTTAATGCATTTACTAACATGAACTTATCATGAACAACACATGTACAGCATTTATTAATCATAATTGGACATTTACTAATGCATTATTATCGTTCAAGTCTGTGCTTGTTAACATTAGTTAATGGACCATGAGTTAACATGAACTAACTATGAACAACTGTATGTTCATTAACTAACGTTTATTAACATGAATATATACTGTAGTAAATGTATTGTTCATGTTAGTAAATGCATTACTTAACATTAACTAATGAACCTTATTGTAAAGTGTGACCGATTATTCATACTTAGCTAATGTTAGTAAATACATTAACATTAACTAATGGACTAATTAAGAACTATTCTCAAGTGTTTCAGATTATTTTTTAAAAATAGAGAATTTAACAAGGTTTGCAAATAAAACTGCTACACAACTACTGTAAACAGTCACTGGAGGTATTCCCTGTGATCTGTACGTTTCCCAGAGTGCTATTTTGAATTACCTCTTGTGCAGAGCGTCTGAGTTCTCTTTGATTCTCCTGACAATGGAGTGATTGTCCGGAGGCTCCGGTGCTGTGGACAAGATACTGTGATTGCGACTACGAATCTAAGAAAGACAAGCACGGACGCAACGTTAGATTTCTGATTCTCTTAGAGATAAACAAATCAGATGAAAATAAAATGAATCACACATTTTTACTGAAGAGCTCGGCAGGAGTATTCATTGGGCTGGCATTGCTGAAGCCTGTGCTGTCACCGGCCGCATGTTCTGACAGATCTCCATTGGTGAAAGGCTGAGCTGTATGATGACAGATTGAATAAAAGAAAACTAAGCTCACAGGACAATCTCATGGAAAACATTTGGTGAGTCATAAGCCAAAATGTAGCCATATTTGAAAAAAAAAAAAAAAAAACAAGGGGTCACACGGGGATATTTTCTGTAATATAAATCCAAAATATCCAAATATAAATTGAATTCAAATATAAATTGAATGTCAGTTTTTCTTTTATATTTGAATCCAAATTTTCATTACTTTATTTTTCTCTAAATACTCCTATTAGCAATTATTTGCAATATTATAGCAGATTTAAACATAGAGGTTTATTGTGGCAAGCTGAAAAGGTTGTGTCTTTTTATTTATAAACACATATTGTGGCTTTGGATCTCTTGAAACTACTCTACAAACACAGTTTACCAATAAAAATAAACCACACAACTTGTAAAACGAAGGTTAAAATATGCAAGCTTCCAACCAGTGCTGTGTAAACTATGGCATGCTTTTTATTTTAATAATGTTTTTGTGAGATGGCAGAGGACAAGAAACCCAGGTCCGAAGAAGCAGCTCACTCAAATGATCTTACTCGCTAAGGCTGCACAATATGTCGTTTCAGCATTGGTTTCGCAATGTGTGTATCCGCAATAGTCCCATCGCAGGATATTGTTACATGCTTGTGTCGATTATGCCTTGTCAATACAGTCTTCCATACATATCTCTTGTCCCTCATTTTTCTGTTGCTGTGTTTATTGAGTTGCGTTCAAAGAAAACCCTGTCTAAAAGTGTATTCTGTTGTTGCTGGTTTCGGTGTGTTCACGTATCCGTTTGCTCTTTATGTCATTACGTTTATCTGTTTCATTTAATTGTCCATTTGTTTACGAGGCTCAGACGAAGCGGACAGGTGAGCAGGTAACATGACATACATATTTGCAATACATAGGACTACTCTTGTGTATAGTAGATTAAGTTAGGGGTGAGCGCCACCCCTTGTATTTTTGGAGAGATAAGAGTGGAATAATTAGGACTCAGAAGACCTCTTTTTGTGTTTATTTATTTCGTTTTCATATATTTAGTTAGTAAGATGCTTCTGGGGAGTTAGGCATTGTTTGGGTTTTTCTTGTCATTAGCGTTGCCCACGTCTCTTCTGCCTGCTCTCTTGTTTTCCCCCATCTTTGTGTTTGTCCCAAGATTGTATATATTGTAAATAGTTTTTTTTTGTGCATTGCATTCTTTTTCTTCATTTTTGATTAATTCATTGTTTTTGTTCACCTTGGAATTTGTGAATAAAAGTCACAGTTTTGGTAGATATTTTGTTAGTAAGTTTTGCAGCTTTGGTATATGTGCTTTGGTTGTCTTTTGCACTTCACTCACTGTATATATAGATTTATTTTAATTGTACCTTAAATGTCAAACCTCATTTCCAAACAAGCATTCAGGCACAAATAAGTACAACATTTGTAACTTAAATGAAGAATAATTTTACTGAATCAAAAATTTAATAAAGACTATTGTCACACAACCAGCGATCGCTTTCCAGAGATCGCTGGATCTCACACGAACTCAAAACTACAATTCCGCATTTCCCAGGACTACATTTTCACACATGCACTGCTCCCAAACACGCACGCCTGTTCATTCATCTATCCTGATTGCAATCACCAGCTGAACCTTATCACAGACTGATATCACTCCATACTTAAGCCACACATTCACGCTTCCAGTTGGCCGAGTCTTGTTTGCATCTTTGTGACATTACAACGCGTTTCCCTGTCTTGTTTTCTACGTGTTAGACCTGAGCCTTGTCAACCTTGTTCTCTAGTTTAGCCGCCTGCCTTTCGACCTTTGGCCTGTATATCGTTTATGATTCTGGACTGTCTATAGATACCCGTTTGCACCTGATGACCACTGCTTGCCTGACATTGAATAAACCTGCAAATTGGATCTTACCTTCTGTTGTGGGTGTCACTCCCCCCAGTCGTTACAGAAGACTCGGCACAGATGATGGATCCAGCGGGAATCAAAATCATGTGTCTCCATCAGAAAGCCCGGTCAATAGAGGAGTATGTTGAGGACTTTATTAATCTGGCCCACCGTACCACCCTGAGTGAGGTATGCCTTATGATTTTCTTTCATGGCGGACTGTCTGAGCCCCTATACTCCCAAATGCCACTGAACAATCCCCACTGCACCATAATGAAGTACATTGATTTGGCACTTCAAATGAGTGTATCCTCCTTCACCGTTGGTGAGGTGGAGGAAAATCCAAATAATCTTTTTGGGGGGCTGTAGAGAGCAAGTCCCGCTGGCGACGGGGCTTGCGACTCAGTTTCCACAGCCAGCTCACAAGATGGCCGCTCCCAGTCAGCCAGCTCACAAGATGGCTTCCAGTCCCAAGTCTGTTCCTGCCCCTGAAAGGCCATCTCCAGAGCTGCCAGACCCTCCAGTGCTGCCAGACCCTCCAGTGCTGCCAGATCCTCCAGTGCTGCCAGATCCTTCAGTGTTGCCAGATCCTCCAGTGTTGCCAGATCCTCCAGAGCTGCCAGACCGTCCAGTGCTGCCAGTCACTGCCACCGCCAGAGCTGCCAGCGCCAGAGCCGACGCCGCAGCCAGCGCCTCAGCCAGAGCCGACGCCGCAGCCTGCGCCTCAGCCAGAGCCGACGCCGCAGCCAGCGCCTCAGCCAGAGCCGACTCCGCAGCCAGCGTCTCAGTCAGAGCCGACGCCGCAGCCAGCGCCTCAGCCAGAGCCGACGTTGCAGCCAGCGCCTCAGCCAGAGCCGACGCCGCAGCCAGCGCCTCAGCCAGAGCCGACGCCGCAGCCAGCGCCTCAGCCAGAGCCGACGCCGCAGCCAGCGCCTCAGCCAGAGCAGACGCCTTCAGCCAGCGCCTCAGCCAGAGCCGACGCCGCAGCCAGCGCCTCAGCCAGAGCCGACGCCGCAGCCAGCGCCTCAGCCAGAGCCGACGCCGCAGCCAGCGCCTCAGCCAGAGCCGACGCCGCAGCCAGCGCCTCAGCCAGAGCCGACGCCGCAGCCAGCGCCTCAGCCAGAGCCGACGCCGCAGCCAGCGCCTGAGCTTCCCGAACGGCCGCTGCCGCCTGAGCTTCCCGAATGGCCGCCGCCGCCTGAGCTTACCGAACGGCAGCCGCCGCCGCCTGAGCTTCCCAAACGGCCGCCGCCGCCTGAGCTTCCCGAACGGCCGCCGCCTGAGCTTCCTGAACGGTCACAGCTCCTCGCCTTGCCAGTCCCAGCCCCTCGCCCTGTTGGCGCCATCCAGACAGCTCACCCGGCCGGCGTCATCCAGACTCCTCGCCTTGCCGATCCCAGCCTGGCTCCTCGCCCTGCCGGCTACCTACAAGCCTCCAACCCTGCCGGCTCCTCGCAGTACTCCAGGTCCTTCGCTGCCACACGATCCAGGACCACTGCAGCTCCACTCTCCCGGTCTTCCGCAGCTCCAGTCTCCAGGCCCTCAGCAGCTCCACGCCCCAGGTACGCCCCAGCTGCATGGTCCTGGCCCTCCATCCCTCCCCCTGTTCTGCCTCCGCTCCGCCTCCCGCCTGAACAGTAGTGGAGTGTCTGAAATCCACTCTAGAGGGGGGGCTATGTAACACAACCAGCGATCGCTTTCCAGAGATCGCTGGTTCTCACACGAACTCAAAACTACATTTCCGCATTTCCCATGACTACATTTTCACACATGCACTGCTCCCAAACACGCACGCCTGTTCATTCATTTATCCTGATTGCAATCACCAGCTGAACCTTGTCACAGACTGATATCACTCCATACTTAAACCACACATTCAAGCTTCCAGTTGGCAGAGTCTTGTTTGCTTTACTGTGACATTACAACGCGTTTCCCTGTCTTGTTTTCTCCATGTTAGACCTTAGCCTTGTCACCCTTGTTCTCTAGTTTAGCCGCCTGCCTTTCGACCTTTGGCCTGTATATCGTTTATGATTCTGGACTGTCTATAGATACCCGTTTGCACCTGATGACCACTGCTTGCCTGACATTGAATAAACCTGCATATTGGATCTTACCTTCTGTTGTGAGTGTCACTCCCCCAATTTCTGAACCTGAATATTGTTATTAATAATTTAATAATGTTAATAATAATAATGTAATTTTGCTTGATTATTATTTTTATACATAATTTACACCCTTATAAAATCCCCCCAGTCCATCTAAATTCATGATTTTTTTTCCCAAAAAGAGTTATTGAAGCAGGGCTTGAAATAGCGACCATTTTGGTTGCATATGTCCCTGAAATTTTATCTATGCGACCTCAAAATTAATTTGGGAGCATTTGTGCGAGTGCATGAAATTGTTGCCGTGCAATAGTTTTCACTTCAAAATGTTCACAGCATCTTTGCACATAAAAACATGAAACACAGCGCTCAGGAATCATTTAAAGCAGTCATAATGTCAACTTTATACAATAAATAAATCCCACAATGCTTGCCCCGCCTTCAAGCTCTTCTGATTGGCGTAGGTGAACGTGAACAGATTGGTTAATATCTGCTGTCAATCACTTAGTCAATGCTTTCTGCCTTCAGGTACCGGGGAGCAACAGTTAGTCACTGAAGTCACTGAAGATGAAAGAATTAAAAACACACTGACAGATTTTTGCTTTGGAAACCACCAAAAGTTCCAAATAATGGCATATCTAATTAGTGATACACTTTTCGAAGAGGGGATGAGACTCCTAGAGTTATCAGGTAACAGTGTTTGCCACTGAATCTACACATTTAATCCTTTATTTAATTGTCAGGATGATGTCAAATGCAGTAAATCTGTTAATATAATACTTGTAGTGACGGTGCCCATAATTATTGACGGGAGCGACTAAATTTTGGCTGGTGCGACTTCCTTTTTTAAAGTTGGGAGCACCAGTGCTACCAAGCAAAAAGGTTAATCATCATACAATAACTTGCTTAATTATCATAACCTGCCAAGTTAACCTAATTAACCTAGTTAAGCCTAAAACCTTCTCTCCATTAAACAGAAATTGGGGAAAAAATAAACAAGAGGGCTAATAATTAAGGGGGCTAATAATTTTGACTTTAACTGTACATTGCAGAAAAACTAAATAATACAATATCAGATTTTTCCAATATCAAGCAGCCCTACTACTCGCTTTAACCTGTTCAATCCCGGTGATGTCAGTCTCTGTGCTATATTGGACTTTTTCCCATTCAGAGATCAATGCTCAGATGATGGAGAAGTAAATGAAGAGCAGGAGAGTCTGATGAATGTAAGCTGGTCAGGCTACTGTTAAGCTTTGAATTGCTTTGCTGCAGGGTGCACTGCTATCATGCTTTACACAGGGTAATAAAAAGTTCAGAGATCTAACATTTTGCATCTTTTGCAATGTGCACAGTTACTAAATATGTCTTTTCCAGGAAATATACTGAAAAGTCATTCAAGTTAATTGTAGTCTAGGGATTCTTAACCGTTGTGCAGTTTTTATTGCTTCTCGTTAAAATGCTTTTTCTCAAAACTCCATTCCTGAACATCATAATGATCAGCTGACAAGAATTAAAAATAATATTAATAAAAATGTGTAAAGTGCTTGAAACCATCTTTAGGGTATCAAAACATGACATAGTTTGCAACAATAGATCATAGTGGATCTCTTTGTAGATCACAATGCACATATTATTTGCCACTTTACATAAAATACCATTAAAGGCTTTTAAAATAAAACCATTTACCTGGGAATAAAGGACTTTTGGGTCCAGCTGCTGGAGATTTTGGTCTATTAATCTGAAAAATAATGGTCAAACAGCTTTAGCAGAGACATACTATGAGGCATTTGAAGAAATACGTTTCTACTCACTCTACTCACTCTGCCCTTGAGGTTACTTCTGCGCTGGAGCCTAAACTCCACATCATCCACAGTGTCTTCTCCTGAGTCTTCATCATGTTGGCCAAAGTTTTGAGCTATGATCAGTGGTGTAATGCCTCGTGGCAGACTCTAAAGGGGAAATTGTCAATAAAAAAACATGCATCAATTGATTGCAATTAAGAAAACATGTCATGGACTACTTGTCTGATGTATTTGGGGTTAACAGTTACAGTCAGCACACACTTATTAGAGTAACATTATAAGCATTTATACTATGGGGCTATTAAATACATGTAGCTAGGAATTAATAGTTAGGACCACATTCGAGTTCCATATTACTATGCTGAATGATTTCAGTTATTTCAGTTAGACTAGGCGATGTTGTGAGCAATGTTGTAGCTGATGTGACGCGTGTGACTGCTTAAAAGCTCTTGCTTCCTTGCACAAAACAACCGTGCTTGCAAACGCAACTAGTGCGATCGTTTCTCTTTGAAATAGATAAGAAAAAATGGTGCTCGTGCACCCACTGTCCAGCTGCTTTCAAGAGATATCCAGATTTTTTGTAAGCAGCCGCTGTTGCCGCTTTCGCTTTTACCATTCTTTGAACAGATTATTAATGGGCCTAACGTTAAACATGTTCACTTGATCATCCGTTCACACACGTTGATAATGTTTTTTAGCTGCTTTTTTTGCTTGCAATTTTTTTGTTAATATGTTTTAATTATCATTCTTTATATTGACATTGTTTTAATAGAATATTAACTCTCCATTTTCTCAAATTTCAACAAAATTTGAAACAAAATTTTTGTTGAATAAAACGTGTATTTACAGCTATGTTTACCTTGTTTTCACTTTTTTTTTTTTTTAATTTGTGGCAAGTAAATTTGTTTAGTCTGGCCAAAGAAGAAAAATTGTAAATAATTAGAGTTGATCCCTAAAAAGTCATGTAAAATTAAAATAAAAAGTTAAGGAGGCATGTGGACATAACACATATCTAAATCAAGTAATATTAGCATGCCAACAGCAAATTTAGAAAATATATTTTCCCAAAAACAAAACTGTGGCTAGTGAAAATGGCGAGTGGCTAGTAATGTTGGAAAACTACCAGCAACAGTGGCTGGTGATCAAAAAAGTGAATGTCAACCCAAATATATGTATACATATTTAAAAGTATGTGTGTGTTTGAAAGAGAGGGAGAAAGGCTGTGGTGTGATCTTCTTAAAGCCTTTTTTAAATGTGTCAAAGGATTCTTCTTCTAAATATGTCTTACAAGAGGTTTTTTTTGGTATGTGGTAAACTAATGTTACACTTAATGCCATTTCTATAACAAGAGATGTCTGCAAATAAATAATAGTGTGATTGTCACTGTCTTATAAAAAGGACATGTTCTAATGTAAAAGAAGGTTTATCCTATTTGAAGATTGTCCAATAGCTGATATGTTATCAAACATCATAAAAAGGCCATGTTAATTATTTTCAGTTAAGCAAAAAGCAACAACTTTTAAATCACACAGATCATTTCTCACCTGATCCAACCCATTTTCCTTAGCCATCCTTCTCAATTTGCACTCCAGGTTGACTATCTTGGCTTCTTTTCGTACGATTTCGATTTGAAGCTCATCGCTCTTTTCTTCCAGCTCTCGTATTTGCTTGCGATACTTGTCTTTGTCGATTAGACACTGAGAGACGAGATGTTGAGAATCATCTCTCGATTTGAAAGCCTGTGGGATGGAGAAAACAAATGTCTATCAGTAACCCTTTTAAGCAGCCTGAAATGAGCTGATCTAAAGCCATCGTTAGAAACCCATTAGTACTCAACCTGGTCCCGTTCACGTTCCACCTCTTCCAGCTGCACCATGATGGTATTCATGCGGTTCTTGTACATTTCGCAGTCCTTCACTAAAGTGGAGCACTTCAACTCAAGGTCCTCCTTCTCTTCCAGGTACTGTGCATTATTAGATTAAATGATGCTCATTTAAACCCATCACAGCAAATAAATGGCATTGTTCAACATTGCATCACATGACCTCGAGAGGAAATTTTCAGAACAACAGAATTGAGATTGTTGTTATTATATTCCAGTTCAAACATTTACTCCAGACTAAACATTTTCATGCAACTCAAACTCTGCTGATTGCATGAAATTTCATCATTTACAGGCAAAATGCTCAACAACTGTATACATTTTCATTCTGCTGTTTTGTTTTGAATGTGGAATTCTGATTACTAATGAGTTATCATTCATATGCTATGAATAAAAATGGGAAGTTATAAGATTTATATAATTTCAATGTGCCATTATTGTTATAAATGTGTTTTTTTTTAACTCAGTAACACTTTACAATATGATTTAATTAGTTATTTAGTTAGTCATTTTAGTTTGTTAACTCACAATGTTTTAACTAACGATAAAAGGCAAAACATAGATTTTTAATAATGCATTAGTACATAATGTACTATAGATTAGCTTTTACCAGTGCTTCCCAGAGGTTTGAAATATATTTGCGGTGGTAGCCGTATTGAAACACACCTTTTACCCACAGCACATAAATAGTTAACTTTATGCAACAAACAAAACACAATTTGATTTTTAACACTATTTCTATTATTATCTGTTTTAAACATTTTCTTTTCAGTGGGCTAGTTAAAAAAAGTAATAAAAATATTTTAAAAATCCACTATTTCTCTTTTATTCAATTCAGGAGCCATGTGCACCCACTGACAGGTAAAATCTGCTTCTCTCTATCTCTCATTCAAGTTAAGGTTGCTTTATGACATGACATTTTGTACAGTATTGCCAATTATTTTGAGAAGTACATTGATTTCAACTGTAGAGTAGTAATATATTTTGGTTATGAATTCAAGTTAAACTTATTTCGGCAGGTTGTCATGAAGATGATTCAGATGGTCTGACTAGAATGAGTCTTCAGTGAACAACTCATTGATTCAAATTGTACAAATTGGACTTTTGCCAAAAAAATAAAATAAAAATAAATAAATAAAACTTCACTATAAGATGTCCTTGGTACTCATGTCTTGTGTCCTTAGTATAGTAATTACAATTAGTTATGTGTAATTACATGCAACTAACTATACAACCTAATCCACATTCGAAAGTAAGTACATAAATTAATTAATGTTACTCAAATAGTTGAATAAAGTTCTGAAGTCTTGCCAACATGTGTTCATATGATGCAGTACAGCTCAATCCAAGAACACCTTAAAATAAAGTGTTTTACTTTTACTTATTTAATTAAAATACCTTTTTATTAATTTATTTTTCATTCATTCATTTATTTATTGTAATCAAAGTAGGCCTTCAACATAAGTAAAAAGTGGAAGATCTGAAGCTCCAAAAGAAGGCCGACTGTGATAAGTAGTCTCTGCCGCCGCCCCTCCTCCCCCTTCCTGTCTTAGCCTGAATTCTGACACTTTTCACACGTCACTTCAGATGCGCTTCTAATTAGAGCTGCAACACATTGCAGAAGGGGCCACTTAGAGCAGCCAGTCCTCATCAGCCCCTGTCACTTCTCGTTCATGTGTGACACGAGAAAAAAAAAACATTGCCTACACTTCATTATTTCTAGCCTCCAACTAAAAAAAAATGTCATGCTGAGATCATATTAAATACACTTAATGCCCATATGAGGCCAGTATCACATTTTGTCATGTTTATTATGAGGGTGTTTAGGATGTGACCATAGCATGACCAATAAATGACCCCAAGCTTTAGCCATCTGTCTACTAAAACTGCCTTTTAAGGCATCACAGAATAGGGAGCTTATGACATAAAGACTGTTCCAAGCAGTAGGCAGTTGTGCTCCCATAGATGTCTCATCTTGGCAAAAAAAAAATGATTGCATAGTTTGAAGATCATCTGTAAATGCACTGCTAATCTATAAATAAATGGTACTTTTAACATTGTCACTAAATATGGAAAACATTTCTAAAAGTTATGATATACAGTAGGAAGCAATGTAAGTTTATGCTTAGCATCATCAGGATATTTAAAACACCGTGGCACACAGTAAGGCAGAAAATAAACAAAACAAACTATTATTCAAATGTGTTTGGGAGTTTGTAAACTTTTTATTATAGTCTATTACGCCCATTATAATATATTATTTATATATACGGAAATTGTAATATTGTAAAACATTATACTTATGACAATATAACTTTATATAACTATTTTCTCTTTGAATTTATTTTAAAATATAATTTATTCCAATTATTCAGAGTTGAATTTAAAGCATCAGTAATCTTGTTTTCAATAACTCAAGATTCTTCATAAATCACTGTAATATGCTGTCTTGATGTTGATGCTGAAAACAGGAGGTGCTGCTTAATATTTCTGTGCAGTGTTATTGTTTTCTCGGGATTCTCTGATGAATAGACAGTTATGAATGTAGTAACTGTCATATCTGATCAAAGTTCATGCATTCTTGCAGGACAAAAGTATTTATTTAAAGTAATATTTAAAACTGATAGCTAATACTGTAACTGATTCAAATGATCCGGTAAGAGTGGATCTCCAATGAAATATTCACTGATTCAAATCAAGTGAAAATATGCTAATGAAATTAAAAGTATGTTAGCAATGCTGAACTTTAGGATTCCTTCCTGTAAATGGAAACCCTATTTAGGTCATGACTTTCAAAAAAAAAAAAAAGTTAAGCTGTTTAAGCCATTACAAAGGGCTATTGCTTTAAGCATATCTAATGTATTATTCTAGAGTGAAGCGTAATGTTAAATAATGAAAATATGCTCATGCATCTTCCTCACTGCTTCTGTATGCCATAGATAAAAATAGTACTTAAATAAAGTCCTTCTTTAAGTTCTTAAAACATATTTTCCCTTACTGTGTTATACCTTGTTCACTTTTGTCAGCACAGATTTAGTTATTATTTTATAAGTTTGAAGTATAAAACATTTTCAATACTATTAATATGCTATTAATACTGAGGTGCATAAAACAGTCAAGCAATTTTGTATAAAGACATGTTGAGTAAAAATTTGTATATTCACCTTAATCTCCATGTACGAGGGGACGCAGCTATTTTAATCTTTTTTGCTTGAAGTTGAGACTTCCGGTCTCATTCACTTCCATTGATTTTTAGATGTTAAAAACAGGTAGTTTCACTGCTTGATGTTGCAAACTTATATTTTCTTATTATATTATTCTGCTTTGTCTGTAAAATCATTTAAACACTTGTCTGTAGCGCAAGTGGCGCATTCAGTCATTTCTCTCATAGGGAGCTAAATCGGAAGTTCTAAAATAATAGTAAAAACGAGCGCACTTCCGCATTGAAGAATAAGGTCAATAAAGTAGTAGTAGTAATGAAAGCTTCAACGAAGGTTCTACTAGGAAGACTCTACGTCATTCTTTATAATTATCAATTCAGCCAATAATAATCAAGTGTGCTATATAAATAAGCCATCACACTGGGGGTTGGCTCCTTCATCTTCAGGCAGTTTTTGTCTCCTCTTCACAAGACCTGCATCATCGACAGGGCTTATGCCAAAGGACTATACACAAAGGACAGTAACCGAAATTGCAATGTTTTATGCTTTCTCAATAAATGTTAAAACATTTATCCGTCTCTCGAGTCTTTCTGGTAGAACTATAAAGTAGTATTTTAACATCTGTCCAAGTACTTTTGCTAAAAAGAATCATCCACTGTGTAAAATCCACAAATGTAAACTTATTGCAAAATAAACACAGTTTTTTTTTTTTTAATAAGACATTTGTTTTAGACTGTTACTCAACATTTGTATGCGTCATGTATTTTTTGGCAAAGACCTTGAAACTGAAATGATTTTTCAAAGTACAAGGCCAATCCTAACCTTGTCCCGGAGCTCCTCGGCCTGTCGGACCTCTTCATGAAGGTTGCAGAGTCTGTCGACCAGCTCCTGGCGGTCCTCTAGAGCCTCTTGTCGGTCATGCTCCAGGATATCCAAGATGGCCTTGTCTGAATCCGGCAGAGGCCCGGGCTGTGCATGCAAAAGAAACAAAACAAGCATGCAAAACATCCTTTCTCAACTGTCCTCTATTCCCTGCCAAGCAAAAAAGGGTCTTCACCTGTATAATGGACTGCAGCTCCTGAACTTTGATCTTCAAGACCTCATTCTCTCTCTCCAGCTCGAATACCTGCTCTTTTCGGGGTCGGTTCTCAATGTCGTTCCTCAGTTTCAGAGACTGCCTCCTCTCCATTTTGCATTCCTCCTCCACCTTGTTCAGCTTGTGCTTCAGCTGGTCGATCTGGAGGAAATTGAGAGACGGTGGTCAAATCTTTTGTATAGATTTTGAAGGCAAAAAAAATCAAGTCAAATCAGAATCTCTCTGACCTCCAGCTGAAGGTCTCGACTCCTCATCACGGCCATGTTCTTCTCTTCGCTGAGCTGAGCGTAGCGCATGGCAAGCTGATAGTTGTCATCCTTCACCTTCATAAGTTCATCGTTATAGTTATTGCGCTCTTCTTTCATCTTGTTGTAGCGCTCTTGGAAAGTCAGCAGCTCCTGGTTGGTTAGACGCAGCTTTTTATGCTCGTCTTCTAGTGTGCGGCATTTAGTCATGACGTCCATCCGCTGCATGTCTTTTGCCTTGGACTGCTGCTGAAGCTTCATGACTTCATTCATTAAAAACTGGATGAGGCCTTCCTGGCCCTCTTCCACTGCAGGACAAAAACAGGCAATTAAATGCAACTACACAAATAATGGCTCGTTTGAAAGTGGTATGGTTTGGTACAGTACAGTATGCATTTGTGACCGATACCTAACACAACAGAACAGTGCCAAAAGGGTGGAGCTAGATTCATTGCAGAATGCTGGTTTACAGAGAATCATCCCTTGTGTGAGCAGCAAGCCAGGAGAAAGACAACACAAGGACTGCCATATTTAAATACACAGCAGAAACACGACACCACAAATGATGGAGCAATGAACCATGCTCAAACAAAGCTTGTCTCTTATTGTGACAAACAGCCACATGTCAAGAAGCGAGATCTGCTGTAAGTCCGCCGTTGTTTACCAGACCATTTGCATGCCACGTGTAATAAAGCATGGAAATGTGAAGGGAACTGCTTCCCCACTCTATTTGCGTGTGTCTACGTTTGAAATAATGAACTTTAGTATGCAAAAGATACTGTACGATATGTGGATGACGTTGATTGAAACTTTCTGGTGCACACCATGCCTACCAACTAAGAATACTAGTGACAGTGGAAATGAAAGCCTGATCGAGGTGAACCATACTGTACTGTACTATGCTGAACCTTACCGCTCAGTGTAAATGAGAAATAGGTGTACCACCTTATATCAAGTGACTTTAACTACCATGTGCTTACATGGATCATTTGGTGCAATGCACTTATTGTGTACATACAGGTTTTATTTTGAACCGATATTTTAAAGATCTGCACGCAGTTACCGCTGTAAATATTTTATTTAATTACATATGACTACCCCATTAACCTATCCTTTACACCAGGGGTCTCAAACTCAATTTACCTGGGGGCCGCAGGAGGCAAAGTCTGGGTGAGGCTGGGCCGCATAAGGGATTTCACAAAAAAAAAGTCCTCAAATGTCATTATTAACAGTTTTAATTATTTCTTCTGAACATGAAGTGTTAATAGAACATTAATAGAACATTGAGTGAAGATTATGAACAGTTCTTCTGAACATGGCATCTTTTGCCTACTCTTTGCTGCCAGAGACTTGACAGCGCTTCTTCTCACAAATCTGAACCACATTTGGCTTTAGAGCGGAAGCAGTTGAGACCCTCAGTATGGCTTGAAGATGATCATCATTAAGTCTAGACCTGTACTTTGACTTATTGAAGTCCTAGGGAAAAAAGTATTGCACTGAGGGCCGCAAATGGCCCGCGGGCCGCGAGTTTGAGACCCCTGCTTTACACTTTACCCACCAATAAACCTAACCATACCACCAAGCCTATCCCTAACCCTAATCTTGCAACACAATATGAACACAAATCATTCATTTACCGATGTTAGTACATAGAAGTATATGATTATAACCTCTGTTTGACCAGTCAGTGTAATTGAGAACTAGTTCTTATTTATATTAATAGCTATAAGAAGTGGGAACTGAAAAAAGCACCAATAACACCATATACAGTGTATCCGGAAGGTATTCATAGTGCTTCACTTTTATATTACAGCCTTATTCCAAAATAAATTAAATTCATTTATTTTCTCAAAATTCTACACACAATACCCCATAATGACAATATGTATATATTTATATATATATATATTTATATTTATTTTTTATTTTTTTAATTGTTGCAAATCTATTAAAAATAAAAAACCTGAAAAATCACATGTACATAATTATTGACAGCCTTTGCAGTGAAGCTCTAAATTGAGCTAAGGTACATTTTATTTTCACTGCTCATTCTTGAGATGTTTCAGCAGCTTAATTGGAGTTCACCTGTGGTAAACTCAGTCGATTAGACATGACTTGAAAAGGCATACACCTGTCTATATAAGGTCCCAGGGTTGATATTGCATGTCAAAGCACAAACCAAGCATGAAGACAAAAGAATTGTCTGTAGATCTCCGAGACAGGATTGTCTCAAGGCACAAAAATTTCTGCTGCTCTGAAAGTTCCAATGAGCACAGTGGCTCTCATCATCCGTAAGTGGAAGATGTTTGGAACCACCAGGACTCTTCCTAGAGCTGGCCGGCCCTCTAAGCTTAGTGATCGGGGGAGAAGGGCTTTAGTTAGGGAGATGATCAATAACCCAATGGTCACTCTGTCTGAGCTCCAGTGGAGAGGAGAGCCTTACAGAAGAACAACTATCTGTGCAGCAATCCACCAATCAGGCCTGTGTGGTAGATTGACCAGACGGAAGCCACTTACCGCCTCTAATTTTCCAGAAGGTATCTGAAGGACTCTCAGACCATAAGAAACAAAATTTTCTAATCTGACGAGACAAAAATTTAACTCTTTGGAGTGAATGCCAGGCATTACGTTCGGAGAAAACCAGGCACCGCTTATCACTAGACTAATACCATCCCTACAGTAAAGCATGGTGGTGGTAGCATCATGCTGTGGTGATGTTTTTCAGCAGCAGGAACTGGAAGACTAGTCAGAATGGAGGGAAAGAAGAATGCACCAATGTACAGAGACATGCTGAATGAAAACCTGCTTCAGAGTGCTTTTGACCTCAGACTGGGGCGACGGTTCATCGTCCAGCAGGACAATGACTCAAAGCACACCACTAAAATATCAACGGAGTGGCTTCACAGCAACTTGGTGAATGTCCTTGAGTGGCCCAGCCAGAACCCTGACCTAAGTCTTATTTTTGGAGAGATCTGAAAATGGCTGTACACCGTCGCTTCCCATCCAACCTAATAGAGCTTGAGAGGTACAGCAAAACACCTAAAGACAGGTGTGCCAAGCTTGTGGCATCATATTCAAAAAGACTTGAGGCTGTAATTGCATCCACTGGTGCATCAACAACGTATTGAGCATAGGCTGTGAATACTTATGCGCATGTGTTTTTTCAGGTTTTTTATGTTTAATAAATTTGCAACAATTTCAAAAAATCTTTTTTTCACACTTTCATTATGGGCTATAGTCTGTAGAATTTTGAGGAAATAAATGAATTAAATACATTTTGGAATAAGGCTGTAGCATAAAAGATTGTGGAAAAAGTGAAGTGATATGAATACTTTCCGGATGCACTGTAGTATACTTGATATGTCAATTATATGTTATATTGTACGAGTATGGTAATTATATAGCACCTTCTGATACTATTAGTGTACCACCAAGGTGCTTACATATTATTATTTATTTATTTATTATATGTATTATTTATTATTAGAAGCAACTGCTCAAAATGGGATTTGGAAATGGGATTTATTGCAGATACTCATCCCACAGGAGAAGCAGGTGCAAGGCAACAAACAATTTTAAGACATGGTCATAGATCATTTATATGTGCAGTATTTTAATTTAAAAGTGTCTCACCGACTATAGTGGAGCATCTGCGTGTCGGCTCCTTCCCCGTGACCAGTTTGTAGAGGTCAGGGTAATACAACTCAAGACTCTCCAGAAAAACCACATAGCCTCGCTCTCCCTTCGTGTGCAGGATATCCAGCAGCCGGCCTGAAACAAAACCACAAGCAAAACTAAAAAAGTATACAGAGTAATGTCTTAATGTCGTCTTTATTAAGTTACTTTATATAGTACATGTTCGACAAAATTGAAGTCGCTTTTAATTTAATTAAATATGTACTGTAGGTTTTTTTCATGTCACGTCAGCTAAAAAAATAAATGCCAATCAAGTTAAAAGTAAAATTAACATCAAATCAATAAAATTAGGGTGTTTTGTTTGCAATGTTCCCCAATATGATTGTTTCCAAATATGATTATAATCCCCCATTCTTGGAAAATAATAGATTTCTATACTACTGCAACAATACTGCATTTTCTAATCATTATAATGTATGTATGTATTTATTTATGTATGTAATTATTTATTTTCACATATATTTACTTAATTTAATAAAAAAGTCTTTAAAGTGGGTGGCACGGTGGCGCAGTGGGTAGTGCTGTCGTCTCACAGCAAGAAGGTCGCTGGTTTGAGCCTCGGTTGGGTCAGTTGTCATTTCTGTGTGGAGTTTGCATGTTCTTGCTGTGTTGGCATGGGTTTCCTCCGGGTGCTCCGGTTTACCCCACAGACATGCGCTATAGGTAAATTGGTTAAGCTAAATTGGCTTTAGTTTATGTGTGTAAATGAGAGTGTATGAGAGTTTAGCAGTTGGAAGGGCATCCGCTGTGTCAAACGCGCTGGACAAGTTGGCAGTTCAATCCACTGTGGCGAACCCAGATTAAGAAAGGGACTAAGCCGAAAAGAAAATGAATGAATGAATAAATACTTCATTAAAAATTTTATTTGCTTATTTTAATCAGGTTTGGGATAATTCTTACCTTCAAATTATTATAAATTATATTATAATTTTTAAATGATTTAAATCCTAATATATTCTTATATATTTCATATATATTCTTATATATTTGTTTGTTACTTTAATGGTGAAATGTCCTTATCACTTTATCACCAAAGAAACACTTTTTTTTTTTAATAATTAATTGTTATACATTTTTTAACAATTCAACTTATAAGACTCACTACTTTTCTCTATTTCACTCAAGACATACATCACAATATGGAAATTAGAAAAGGTAGTATTTTTTCCCTCGTGATTTTTTTTAACCCAGGCTCATTATGCAAACGTACCACAGTATACATTTCTAGAGAGAGCGAAAGACATCCCGGGAGATTCATCTTTTTGCAGTTTTTCTTTTCAAAATTCCACCCGAGGCTGCTGTGTATGCTTTTTCAGATCTCAAATTTCTTTCGTGAGTGCCATTCGCGCCTGCTGTTCTAATGTAGATCCACAAGAGGCTGCTGTCGACTGACTGACTGATTTACTGACTAATTGACCGACCGATCGATTACCCCACCTCCTCCTTCCCTAAACCCAACCAATAGTTTTTTCGAAATAACTGATTGATCAGCGCCCACACACTTCCCTAAACCCAACCGACAGTGTTTTAAAAAGCAAATAAAAAAAAAAGCCCACATGGCCGTCTGATTTTTACCACATTTTCAGATCTTACCACATTCTCACCGTTATTTACTTGTTTTTTTTATGTTTTTGCCTTATGTTTTTGTTTTACCTGCTTTCTGAAACCATTCTTCACAGGACCTGAACCCTGTTGTCACCTTCGACTTGGCTCTGCGTATCCAGTCCTCCGACGTACATGGCGAGCCATAAGTCAAACTGGTAACAGCGGAAAAGCCATCCATACGGAGGTAGGCGGTCAGTTGGTAATTGCCAAAAAAATTATGTAGCGTTCATTTTAAAGATGAAATGACGTACCTCTGGCTACATAATTCTTGATCTCAAGAAATGTATTTGGGCTACATGTTCACAATGAGCCTGTGTTGGATTATTTATATCTTGCATTCTTGAAATGACAAATGTGTTTCAATAAATTTGATAGATGAAATAACACTAAGCCCTCAGTTAGTTCAGTCAGACACATGTACATGTATGTGCTTGCAAAGAAAACTTCACCCGCAGTACAGAGCTTCCAATCGGCTTTGATTTGTAATCAAATTCGCTGTGTCTTACACTGTAGTAATGCTGCAACTGGTGTGGTCAAACAACTTTCTTGTTGACTAATTGGTATTGAATGATGACTGGCTGCTATTCTGTTACACTGCTGAATATCAAAAAGCAGGAATGTCCAGAATTGTCTTTGATAAAAATGCTGCATTGTACTTTAATTCACAAGTGAAACTCATGGCACAGAAAGCACTTGAAAGATCTTCTGTATTACATGCCAAGCAACCAGTCCCAGAGGGAACGGAGAATCATTAGGGGGCTGTGAAAATCCCAGTCGTGGTAAACAAGCATTTTGATGTGCTGCTTTGTGACAAACAAACAGCGCCGACATAAGCAAGCTGCTCGGCCGAAATCCCTGTCATCCGTTTTGCCTGTGGCCGTTCGGATGTTGAAAAATGATACGGAGGTTCAGGAAGGAGTCGCCGGGAAAGAAAAACTACAGCGGTGGCGGCTCACAGGATTAAAAGCGTCCATTCATCATCGCATTACACCACTGGAAAAACACAGTGAAAGATGGGGTGACCGAGTAACTGATTGATGACGTGATTTGCATGTAAATGTTTTCGCATTTGCATTTCCATATTCCATAGTGACAGTATTTTCTGCCACTTGCATCTATGAATGTTGATGTTCCTGCACTCTGACTTCGAGAGCCAATCCAAGCATTGAGCGCATCCCGTATCACATCATTAGCAATGCTACAGTTCATAAGCATATATAGGAAAACGTTGAGTAATACCTGCGCGGTTGACTTTGGACTCCAGCAGGCGAGAGTTGAGCACTTCGTCTTCGTCTTGTTCATCGATGACCTTGCATTGGCGCAGGTATGAGGTCAGCTTGTTGGGGTTGATGAAACGGCACAAGATGTACCGGTTCTTCTCAGCGTTTTCCCACAAGGTCTCTCCGTAGTCCAGCATGCTCATTGAGCCTCCGTTGTCCATTTCTGCAGAGGCCTCTGTAAGATGAGAATGACAGAGAAAATAAAAGATGCTATTTCGACACTCCTTTCACACTCGCAGCATTGACAGCACACCAGATTAAAAAAAAAATGCAATCTTGTTGTTGCATGCACAATGATAGATGTGTCTATTGAGCTGTGATAGCAATGTTTTAAAGTCGACATGACCTTATTTACTTTCTTCATGCAGTTTTAGGTTCTAAAGCGAGTGATTCATTCGTGCATCGTTTTCTAGATTGTTGTGTTTGGAACTTTTAAAAATAAAATATAATCAGGGATGCATGGTTTTCGGAAATGCAGCACGGCTAGGTGGAATTTATATGGAATATAATTTATATGGAATATGACTGTTTGTTTTTCATAATGGCTTTTTGTAATCTGGTGAATTAATGTTACATTCAGAGCTTGTTCATCCCAAAAAAAAAAGTATTTAATACATTTTTAAAACATTAAGATGGCAATAATATCATACAGAGATTCCATTCAATAAACACAAACATAGAAAATCTAATTCTGGTGTAAATGTAAAATTGTGAAGATTTAAATGTACAGCAAAAGATGTAAGAAAATGTTATTTTAAGAATCATTTTGGAATTGGATCATGACCCCCAGAATCGGAATTGGATGAAGTTGTAAAGTCCAGAATAAGATCCCCACTCTATAAAGCATGTTGTCAAATGATGTTTAATATGATTATTAATGTCGCTTTGGCAGACAGCAGTGTATTTTAGTTACTACAAATAATGGCTTTGCTAGTACTAATGTGTATTTACATGTCTGAAACCTAAAATGAGTGTTTTAATGTGATTAAAAACATGACGCGCAACTCTTTCTGACTTTGAATGGTCTAATCACACCACTGTGATTGCTCGCTCCAGAAACCAGCCAAGACTGACCACACCGGTGCAGTAAACTCATCAATGGAAGGATAGTCAGTAAGTAAGATATAAAAGTGGTACAAATTCCCCTGATTCCCCAGATTATATGCAGTTTTGTACTCTTTACACTCTGAGGACAAAAACAGGTCACATATGGCCATAAAATATTGATTTGGGCCACATGGGGCAGCAATGTAAACATAGACATAGTGTTGATTTTATCTATGTATGAAAAATATGGAAAAAAGGTATGTGTATCAGTAATTTAGATCAGCAACACAGTGTATCTTGAACAGGAAGACTCAACTCAACTATCTGAGTTATTTCGATTAGAGATTTTGTTGTGCCCTGTGTACATTCCAGCAAGAAATCTCATGACTACACTTGTGCCTGATATACCAAAGAGAGCTTTTTCAAGCTCAAAGGCAGTTAAAAGGTGTAAAAAGCTCATGAAACCTTTAATATCTATAAAATGTGGATCACACATACTTTGTTCCTCACATGTTTCCAAAATGTTTCCAGATGTTTCTATAACTATTTTTGTCAGCTGAACAATAGGCATGTTGGTAAACAACAGTCCACTAAACATGCTGAACACATCACACTACTTTTTTTACTCATCTGTTTCACTCAAATTACAGAGTTTTTAAAAACTGGATAATTAGTGCAAATGTTGCACATATATCGTAATACACAAAAAAATCATACAACCATGTCATCAAACTGACAATTGCAAATGTAAAAGATTTCATTTACAATGATTAGCCATGGCGATATTTAATAAATCAATATATTGTGAAAATAATCCAGCAAAATATTGATATCACTTTAAAATACCATGAATAATTATTTATTATTTAAACTGTTATATTGAAATGGAATAGGGCGAAGCAGTGGCGCAGTAGGTAGTGCTGTCGCCTCACAGCAAGAAGGTCGCTGGGTCGCTTTGGCGTTTCTGTGTGGAGTTTGCATGTTCTCCCTGCGTTCGTGTGGGTTTCCTCCGGGTCCTCCGGTTTCCCCCACAGTTTAAAGACATGCTGTACAGGTGAATTGGGTAGACTAAATTGTCCGTATTGTATGAGTGTGTGTGAATGTGTGTGTGGATGTTTCCCAGAGATGGGTTGCGGCTGGAAGGGCATCTGCTGCGTAAAAACTTGCTGGATAAGTTGGCGGTTCATTCCGCTGTGGTGACCCCGGATTAATAAAGAGACTAAGCCGACAAGAAAATGAATGAATATTGGAATGAATGTTCACTAAAGCAACAAATCCTTGAAAACTAATACAGGCGATTTATTTTCAACCGTGAACATTTTCACATGTTAATCTGGCCTACGACACTGAAAATTCTGACTATTTATAAGCCTTTTGCTCATTAACTCTGTTAAGTTGGTTCCATTTGTTAACAGTTAATTAAACTGTTGTAAATATAATGAAAACTATGAATGCATTTATGAATCTTAGGTGATGTTCATTTCTTATTTATTGAATAATAACACATTATCATAAGGACAGAGGTGTCCAAATGCGGTTCTAGAGGGCCGGTGTCCCGGAGAGTTTAGCTCCAACCCTAATCAAACACAGCTGAACCAGCTAATCAAGCTCTTACTTCATATACTAGAACAGTGGTTCTCAAACTGTGGTACGTGTACCACAAGTGGTACGCAGGCTTCCTTTAGTGGTACGCGGAGGAATGAAATATGTCATGTACATGCTACACACTTTTCAAAATTTATCAAAAATGATGGATATAATGTGCCATATAAGACATATAGCCTATATTTCTGAGGTAATCTGCCACGCTTTTTTTTTTAACTGTGCAGAGTTGTAGCTGCTTTATTGGGCCTAATATGCTACTGTATTTCAATACTGCTCATGTTGGTGGTACTTGGAGAAACATTTTTTTCTGAGGTGGGACTTGATGATAAAAGTTTGAGAACCACTGTACTAGAAACTTCCTGGCAGGTGTGTTGAAGCAAGTTGAAGCTAAACTCACCAGGACACCAGCCCTCTAAGAGTGAGTTTTGACACCCCTGCCATAAGACATAATTGTTCTATTAAATTGAGTTAATATCTAATAACTTTAGTAAATTGATTTGTGTGACTATTTTATTTACTCTAAACATGTCATTTTTGTTGTTGTTGTTGTTGTTATACAGCACCTGATGAAGTAATATTTTTGCAGCTTAGTTCATTATCTTGTTAATCCCAAAAACTATAATAAAAGTATTGTCAGTTAATATACAAATATACAACATTATATCAGCAGAAGCCTAAAGACAATTAGTGTTTCCACAATTTTGAAATGACTTTCACACTGCTACACCTTCACTACCCAGTTGTTGCCTGTAAACATCTCCAACAGAATGTAAACAATAAAGTGCCATTGATGTGAGAGTGACCTGCATCTGTGCCACATCCTGACGCATTTCTGTCCTGCGGTGAGCCTGCTTCTGCGTGCTACCACACTCTGCCTCATTTCATAGAGGTATAACAAACCATGTCTTTTTTTAACACAGTGGACACTGGCTGTAAAGATGTCACAACAGAGAACTGATACGCAGAAAACAGCCGCTCCGCACTATTGCAGAACTGAGATGATGGTCTAGCAGACACTCACGTACACATGTGAATGAACGGTTTACCTGCTTCACAGACTGCAGCATAGTGATTAATGGCTGAACCTCATGGATGCCGAGAGCAGATGGCCAATAAAATGCTGATATAGGCTATAGAGAGTCCAATTCACAGATTTAAAAATACTGAAATCAACATTTAATTGAAATGCATTAAATCAAGTGTAATAAAGCCCTCAAAGTGAGAAGGCGCATTCATTAAAATAGTTAATTTCTTAGTTGAATCAAATATTTAAAGGTTTATTAATTGCAATAGACAGAGCCATGGCTTTAACACCCAATCCACCTCTTTAACTCACCATACAACCAAAAGAATTAAGAATAAGGAGCAAGGAACAGATGTTAGTATCTTAAAGTTATAGTACATGGTAAACATTAGATTATACTTTAACTTTCAAGATTAGATGCAACTTTCAGGCAAGCTTTTTAGATTCAAGGCAACGAAGTGCTGTTTAGGTTTAACCAGGAGTGCAACAGCAGCAAGTGCAGGATATACTGTAGGTATAAGTTATAAGTGTAACTATGGAAAAAAAACTATGATGAAATTTAGATGGATGTGCTATAAACATGTTGTACGGACTATGAACAAAGATCTACAATAGATGAGTATGTGTACAGATTGCTATTAATAATCAGGTATATGCAGATAGATATGAACATAATTTCAAATGTATATATACATGCAGTGGATATGTACAATTCAAGATGATCTAGTGCAACAAAGTGAAATGAATATGTACAATTTAAAATGTGCACATATGAGGAGTGATTATGAGGAGTGTAAGTGTTAAGATCTTCAGCGGTCTAGCGTCTGCAGATTGATAAAGGAATACAAATCCACCATTTATGGACTACAATATCCAGTCATGCACCACACACACACACAACCGGTTCCTAATCCTCATTGATTACACTCTCGAATTGAATACAACTCTGGATTTCCTGTTTACATCTGTTTGCCCCTGTGTTGACCGTTGCTTGCCTGACTATTGTGTTTAATAAATCCTGGATTTGAAACCGCACTCCTGTTGTAAGTTTCACTTCGCGTTACAGCAGACTTAGCCACACAATCGATCCAGCAGACCAGGTCAGTCAACTCAACCAAGGAACTAACACACTCGAGGACCATTTTAATACGTTTTTGGACATTTTTAATGATTCAGACGTAATTCCGACCTTTCACCTGATGAAGACCATGTAGGTAAAAATGTTGTGAGTGATATTAAAGGACTTTTGGGAGCTAAAGTGGCAGTGTGGCGAATTTCTTTTGATCTATTACTACTGTGTCTATTTTTGATCGAGCACCTGCCTTCGAGATTTTTAGATGTGCGCACATTTCTGTTTTTTTTTTTATGATTCAGACCTACCAGAACTTTTTCTCATCAAGTTATTTATTGGGGAGTATACATTATCTATTATTAAGTTATTTATTATAAAATTATTATTAATATTATTTGGAGGTTTGAGAATTTTGTAAATATGTGGA